ACTGGGAAAAAGGGAAGGTGGTTCTCCCTCGGGATTATTGACAGGTATGCCACTCACACAGACAATGCCCACTGAGGGCTGGAGTTATTGCTCCCTGCTTAAAAATCAAATGGAATCAGGATGAAAAGTAATTCTTTCCCTTTCTCTCTCCATTCAGGGGTCAGACACAGCAGCTACACTCTGACAGCTTCAGCAGTGACTGGGAGAAACGACTGCTCTGGATTGTTCAGCTTGGAAAAGGGGAGGCTTCAGGAGCACCTAAAGGGAGCCCACAAGAAACATGGAGATGGACTCTTGACAAGAGCATGGAGGGAGTGACAGGACAAGGGGAAATGGCTTCAAAGTGAGAGAGATATTAGATATTAGGAAAAATTCTTCCCTGGGAGGGTGCTGAGGCCCTGGCACAGGTTGCCCAGAAAAGTTGTGGATGTCCCATCCCTGGAAGTGTCCAAGGCCAGGCTGGATGGGGCTCTGAACAACCTGGGCTAGTGGGAGGTGTCCCTGCCTATGGCAGGGGGCTGGAACTGGATGAGCTTTAATCAATGAATGATACAGATTTAATCAATGAATGATACAGATTCATTTTAAAATACACTGGCTATGTGAAGCATTAAAGTACTAATGTGCATTTGGGAGCAAAGCAGACAATTCTAGGCTGGAATCCTGATTTTACCTGTGTATCCATCCACAAAGCCTGTCAGCTGAAGGTCAGGGGGTTCAAAACCACAGTTTATCGTTGTGGTTTCTAAAAAGAAACACAAAAGTCATGTACAAAGAACACAGAGGGACCATTGCCAGAAACAGTACAAGGTCAAAAAGCTTCTGCTCTATAACATCAGATGCCCACAATAGTTCAAATGAGGCTCAAAGACATTTATCATAAACCTTGAGGGGTTCAAAACAATACATTACATGGAGTAGGCAAATATTAGTGGCCTGGACCCAATGTAGGCCTGCCAAGAATGAGTCACTGCTCATTTCGTGTCCTGCTGAAACATTTATGGAAACCATAATCGAAACTGCTTCTGTACCTTGGCCCTGTAAACGTTTTCTGCTCCCAAGAGAACTGTCAATACAAAGCTACTCCCCACAGAAGAGTCAGCAGGAATCCAGGAGCTCAGCACATTGACAGATTTACCTGACATTTCCTCTCCTCAAACTTTCAGAGAAGGTGGCACTTTGGGGGATACAGGATTTTCACGAGAATTCCCTTTCTTAAGTGGTTAATTGTGCCTCAGACATTTCTCTCTCTACATTAGCTCTGTGTGATAAAAGTGAGTTTTGTTTTGGGGTTTTTTTTTTTTTGGTACATCTGCAAACCAGAAACCCAGAAATCTGCCAGATTTTTTTTCCCTTGCCCCTGACTAGAATTCATCAGCAAAGCTGCCAGGGTGCAACCCGTGTTCTTAGGGACAAGCTGTGCAACTTCTGTGGTTTTAAGAATGTTCCCACTCTTCTCCTTGGCCATCCCTCCCACAGATTCAAAGGGACAGGTGGTAAATAAACAATGGGCTCTTTTTGCCTGGCTGGGTGGATTCCTTCCTATCTGTACCACTCCACAGGATCTCCTTTAAAAGCCAGCAGTGCACAGGTTTCTACACAAGTAACTGAATAAAACCCCAGAGAATATTTCCACAGGCTGCTGGTTATGGGTCTAATTCACTGCCTCCACCTCTGAGTATTGAAAAGCCTGGGCTCTGGATTAGTGAAAAAGATCAAAAAATTGGCAGTTTTCGCTTTCTGGAAGGCTCAATACACCCAAGAGAACTTTAAATGGGGTTCCTCAGCGCTACAAACATCACATGTAACAATGGTAAATACTCCAGCCTGATTTGGCAGAACAGCAGCAGCAGGGAATTCAGCTGATCCCAACCTCAAAACTACCCATCCTCAGACCCACCTTCAGGTGTTTTATTTAATGTCTGATGCAAATAGATATAAAATAACAACATAAAATAATACTATAACACAACCAAACCTCCCAAAGTTCAAAGAACACAAGAGCATGGTGTTCAAGTTGTCAGCACTGAGCTGCTGAAAGCCCCCAGTCCACTTCCACGGGCACCGAGATGGCTCGTTTGGATGTTATTTTATCAACAAATCAACGCATTTCAGACTTCCAGGCTCATGATTTGTACGGACTTAATACATTTAATTTAGTTCCATTTCAATAAAAGCAGTGAAATGCTCACGAAAAAATTAAGAGTACTTACTTTGTGCCTCCAGACAGGTGAAGGTAACCCAGCTGACCAAAGCCAAAACCAGAGCTCTGGAAAGAGCCATGAGCGCTGCAGGAAAAAAAAAAATAAACCTCCTCCTGAAGGCAAAACCAGATGGGGTTGTTTCTCACACAGAAAACGTGTAAAGAATCATCTCCTTTGCCATGTCATATGTCAGTTGTTTCCTTAACAAATGCTTCACTGAGGGCAAAGGAAAAGAGTGGAATAAGCCTTGGAGAGCAATCCACCGACTCTAGAATGTGCTTATCGTTTTCAGTTTGGGAGATCAAAGTCCTTTTGGGCAATAAAATAAACCAATAAGGAAATGGATATTTGTGCTGTAACACAAGAAGTGGTGAGTGTACTTTTTTATTCTAGCATTTGAAATAGAGATGAGAACAAATTAGCAAAGGTCCTGGTCAATATATGAGAGAAACACCCGTTTTCCCTGGGGAAGAAAACCAGCATTGCTCCTTTTGATCTCATGAGGATGGCAGAGTATCTTCCCATCACTCTGTTCCAGAAGGAATAAATACGGGATTCCTGCTGTGAAAATAGTAGTTGTTATTTGATGTGATGAAAGCAGACACCTCTGAAGTGTGCCCCAGTATTTTCCACATAGTGTTAAAACATTTTGCTTCAATGTACACGAAACCAATCAACATTGCAAGCTTGTAGAGAACTTCCAAAGGCTACAAATGATTGAAACAAACTCCATGATGAGATGTGTCATCTGAAGGTAAATACACCTTCAGTTGGAAGGAGAAGCTGATTACACAACAAGGGAACTGCTGCCACACCAAAGTCCTCTCTGTTTGTGCCACATGTTTTGTCACTGTGGATACTGAAGTAATCACTGGAGAACACAAAACACAATAAAAGTGCATGCAACAACTAAAAATAAAATTATCGCTGTGTCCTAGCCTTGAATTACTGAAATGTGGGAGCAATTCAAGAAGAAGCAATCAGAAGTTTTTTAAAAGAAGTTCAACCACGTCTTTTGAACAAAGGCCACATCCAGCCACGGTTGTGATGGCCCCATCCAGCCGTGATTCCTGGCCTGATCATTCCCTGTGTCCATGATGGCCAGGCCTGAGCAGGTTTATGTGGCAAAGAACAGCAGGCAGGTCTGGGTACAAAATGCCTCCTGGGAAGAAGAAAGAGCCCTGATCTCGTTCCCCAAACAGCCCCACACCTCTTTGGGCCATCCCAGCCAAGCCAGAGACTGCATAAGCTGATATTTGAACCAAAAGCTTCTTCTAGCAACCAACCCCCTTGAGCACTGGAAATGTTCACGTGCTGGAAAGTCTTAACCTGCTACTGAAGATCTACTTTTTGGATATTCCAAGTGAGAGGGAAGGCAAGGCAGCCTCAGCATTCTGTGGGGCTTCCCAGAGTGCTGGAAGCTCAGCCATGAGAAGGGGTATGAGACCTCAGGAGATAACACTCCAGAAAAGATCCCCCACGGGGTTAATCTGTGGGGGAGCAGCCCAGAAGCTGAAGGAGGAAGGTCATTGGTGTGCATAAATCAGCGCAAGACCAAATACAAGTTAAAGTTCACCCACAGGCAGGCATGGAATGGGAAGTGCTGCTGGGATGCAGCACAACATTTACCCCACTCTCCAGAAGCTGTTCCGCTGTGAGGGTCTTGGTCCAAGGCAAGAGCAGCACTTCCCATCAAATTAACATTCCAAGCCTGTGTGATTCCTCAAGTAGAGCAGTGCTGTGCAGCTTTGTCAGCTGCTGATGGCTCCTTCAGCCTCCACCCACCTGTGCTGCTCAAAGCCAGAACCTCAGGGACACAGCAGTTCTGGGCTGTCCCTCAGCCTCAAGCCTGGAAAAGCCTCTGGCTGGTTTTATTTATGGATATAGCCAGGAGGGGACTCAGCAGTAAATCCATTCCTATGGTAAGTTTAACATGAGTGAAGTCTTCTTTACTCTCCTAAAAGATGGACTCGGTCTTGGAGGTCTTTTCCAGCCTGAATGATTCTGTAATTATTAAGAAATAGAGGAAAAAATTTCACATAATGGCTCCAGCACCTGCTGCACAGGAGCAGTTTCCCAACCCCCAGTACAGGAACACTCAGCAAGAACAGGAAACAATAACTTTGAAAAATAAATTGATCCCCTTCTGGCAAAGAGAAATGTGTCCTCAGTCACACCAAAAACACCGGGGCAACCACATGTCCACATTTCTCCCAACACATCTTTTGGACTCATGGTTGAATTCCAATTTCTGGCCCTTTCTCCAAGGTTTCTGGGCATCCAGGGAGCAGGCACAGCTGCAGAGTGCAGTGAGTTAGTTTAGACCCACATGGGACAGCAGGATGGACAGTGTAGCCTTCCCAATATACCACCTGCACACGGACAGGGCATCCAAGTAGCAAGTTCTAGAAACAGAATCATGGCAAATAATCACATTTACACATTTAACAGACTGTTTAAGTGGCACAATCTGCACTGTGGCAGTGCGAGGCAGTGTTAAAACATGTTTTTTAAACATAGCTTAGCTTAATATTTTGCATACTTGGGTCATTTGGAGGGCAGCTCACTCATGAATTTTTAATCCAGCTTCAACACTCGATGCAGATAAAAACTCTTTTAAGTTCATGAAGATTTGGAGTAGCTCTGCATTTAATGACATCCTGTTCTTGACAGATAAAAAGCCTGTACTGTGACGCTGCAATTTAATCACAAATACACATGGCATGATTGAGACCATCAAGCAACATTTACACACATAACTCAGCTCCTAAAAGCATCTATAAAAAACTCACACACTTCTTAAATGAATAATGTTTATTTTCATTAAACCAAGACAAACTCTCAAAATGAACACAAAGATAAAAATTCAAGGTGGTTGGCAAGGGGGGGGGGGAAAAAAAGATAAACTGCACATCATGAACGTTATTTTTGTGGGCTCAAAAATGTTTGTGAATAAAATAACACTGGCACACAGCACTGGCACTTCCCCACAGAACAAAACCAGCAGAATTTTCCTCTCTCTTTTAGTCAGTAGTTCCACGAAAACTAAACATACACACGCACACACATGCAGCCTGCAACCTCCACAGCCAGGTTTACCACGGGAATTTGGAACAATCCTCTGTCAGAAGTCCCAAAATTGTAGCAAAACATTTATTCTACTGCATTTTCATACCTGGTGGATTTTATAAGACTTTTCTTCACAAACACAATCAGTTTTCCAGTGTTTACTAGAAGTGCTTCAAACTGTGTCAGTGCTTGCAAACAGGCCTGGGGCATTCACAAAACCTGATTTAGCTGATGCAGATTAAAACACTCCTGCCCCAAATCAAAGCCACTGAAATCCAATTTGGCCTCTTGCTTTCACTGGGCTCCCAATTAGCTACAGCATTGGACAAAACACACAAACAACACTGATTTTTAAGGGGTTGAATCAAAATCTTCCCCCTTGAAAGCAGGATTTTCAAGTATTGCTATCCTAGTCTTCTAACACCCACTGGAAATCATCAGGGAACAAGACAAACAAACAAAAAAACCCAAATGGAGGGAAGAGCATTTAAACAACCTCCCTCTCCTTACCCCAAACCCCACCCTCCTCCCACCCAGGCTCTTGCTGACTTAATTCCAAACTCAATTTATTGTACAGCCATGAGCTGGAATAAGCTTTCCCTGAGTGCTCTTTCTACCTGTTTCAAAAAGTCAGAATGTGTTTCCTTGAATTCAGCCATTCTTATTGTTATTATTATTATTATTATTATTATTGCCATTTTCTTTGCTAATATGCCATGTATTTTCTAGGCAAGTGGTTTCATTTTGGTAGCCCTGGATTGGACAAACTTGTATTCTATTGCTCCAAAGACAGAACTTGAAAGTGCTCCTGACTTCTGAACAAAAAGGTACCCAGGCAGGTTTCAGAGAGCAGCTAGACCCCAAAAAAAAGCTCTGCATGCACAAACCTTTGCAATGAGACATCTCTGCTGCAAGATGCAGAATTAACAGTGGATCTGCTTGGATATTTAGTGGCACAGCATCCATAAAACTGCTTTGCATCCTAAAGTCTGGGTGCTGGAAGGGAACCAGACACCGCAAGGGGAGCGAGGAACGAGGGTGAGCATTAATTCCACACGGCAGGTAAAGCAAAGTGGTTCACATGCAGGGTGCAAAGCTGCATCACCAGGGCTCTGATTTCAGCTCTGGAGGTCTAGTCCCTCCCTCCCTGCTGCCCACCTGCAGATGGGTGGAGCTGTGTCATGGACACCAGAAGGAAGCCTCAGAACTGCAGGAAAATTTCGCTTCAACAGGTCTAAAGTCACAGGTATTATTGCCATGAGCTGGAAATGCAAATCCCCAGGGGACCGACCTAAAATGGGCCATCAAACACTGCACAAGGTAAATACATGAGGAGATTTGTGTTAATGCTGCTGAGTGCACTCAGAGCTCAGTAGTCTTGCTTTGCCCCTTTTCAGTATTTCTGGCATACCAAAAAGGCCTATTTCTGTCTTCCCCCATAAATAAAGTTAGTCTGATAATTTAATTCTGTAGATTTATAAAATATTTTCTGTGCAACTTAACACAATAGCCTAAAAAAAAAAAAAAAGAAGGAAAAAAAAAAGGCAATTAAATTTAAATTTAAGAAATAGGATATTTACAATTAAAATAAGTACAGACCTTACTGGATTTGCATTCATTTATGGCACAAAATAATTTACAAGGCTGAAAGCAATAAATAAGTCACTGGAAAGCTTTTAGAGATGTGCATTCTCCATGTCAGAGTGCAGTGGAGTTTCAGGAAGCAGTAAGGAATTCTGGTCAAAGGGTGCTCATGACTCCTTATGTGGGACGGCCTTGCCCAAAACGGGATTTTGACCTGGAATGAAAACACAAAATAAGCACATTTATATATATATTTTTTTTTTTACATTATTAATGTAGGGGTTTTTTTGATGTGTGGGTTTTTTGGGGGTTTGTTTTTGGAAAGAGGACAAAGAATGGGTTGAAAATCTCGGCTGACACTTTTCCAGTTATCCAAAACTCCACAAAAAATTACATCGGAGCTGGAGTGAACTTCCCACCCCAGAAGGTGTCAAGCAGCTCTAAGAGTTTCACTCTCTTAGCTCCAATTTAATTTGACAAAAAGTGTGAAATAAGAGATGTTTTAATTCAAACACCATCCCCCTCCACACACACACCTGAGAATCCAAGTTTTGCTCCTTCCTTTTCATTTGCAATTCTCACCTGACATTCTTCTCGGGGTTGTTTTGCCGGGCGCTGAGCTGTGCCGAGGCCTTGATCTGAGCTTCAAGCCTGGAATAAATCCCTCCTGCATACTGGAATCCATGGGAAAAAAAAAAAAACATCAAGTTTTGGCATTATTTCAATGTAATCAGTGACTTTTCATAGAAATCCAGCAGAATTTATGGCGTCCTTGGTTTCATTAGCACAAGCCAGGACTGGAATTTTTAAACCTGTTTTATTTTCCATGACCGGTTTTTTAAAGGTGGTGAATTTGAAATCTTATTTTAAACCATAATCCCACCAAAAGGTCATGCTTGGGGCAAAATGAAGGTTGATAAAATTCAGTTCTTTAGCTGAAGTGTTGAACAGTTGGTGTTTATATTTGTGTTAGATGTTTTTGTCAACCAAGGCTCACTTGAATTCTGTCAACTGCACCAGGACAAATCTTACTTCTTTGCTGTCCTTTGACTTGACTCGGTCAAGGTCCCCCAGTCTCATTTTTATTAAATGCCCTGTAATCTCAGACATTCTTCTCTGATCTGTCAGAAATAAGAAAGGATTTTTAGAGAAGAGGTTTTCCTTGCTGCTGAATACAAAAGAGAAGAATTAGACACACAAATTAGTGATGCTGGATTTGTAAAATTAACTTTCTTTTCAGCTCCTGTAAAAATCTTGAACGCCCAAGATCCTAAATCCTGATGGATAATTTAGGATAATTTAGTCTCAGCAGCCTTCTTGGCAAATATCAGAATCAACCTCAGGCAATACACTGAGATCAAAATCTATGGAAATTGTTTGGAGGCAGAGGTTTTCCAAACAGTAAAAATGCACAGGAGTCTCAGGAGAGATTAAAAAAAGGCAGAACAAATGAACAGAACAATATTTTAGTCAGAGAGACTGGGAAAGAGATAGAAATGGATGTTTCTCTCTTATCTGCACGGACAACAAATGCCACAGGGATGAAATAAAATCATTTGCATAGTCACGAGATGAAACCACTACAACCTCTGTAGGTTACGTGCTGACATTCCAAATAAAGCACACAAATCCCCAAAAGGTTAAACCCAACCTAAAGGTGTCCAAGCAGCCACATTTGCAGCAAACTGCCTGTTTCTTATGGAGAACACGAGGCAAAGAAAACGCTCCCAACTTTAGGAGAACTAAACTCATGAAAGAACAGACCGTCTTCTCTCTGAGCATCTTGGTTGTATCTCAGCGACCTGGAGGCATCCCACTTGTTCTGCTGCACGCTGACGCTGCTTGGGAGAAGAAAGATTGCACACAACATCACCAAAGGGGTGTTTTGATGGAGAGGGAGACACTAAAACAGGTTCTCAGGGGCTTGGGAAACGACTTACATGAAGGGAGATGCATCTCGGGAACTCGGCTGTAGGAGAAAGGAAAGCACATCGAGGGTGTTTGAAGATCAATTTAAAACTTAAGGGAGAATTCCCTGCTAATCAACCCAAGCCAAGAGCTTGGTTTCCCAGCTAGGATTTTACCTTCTCAGGTGGTTTCTCCCTTTTCTGGACACTGGGGGAAGAAAGCACTTTCTTTGGGTGCCTGGAGGATTTCTTTAATTTCTCCTTTCTCCCTGCTGATGGAAGAAACACCCGCTCACACCGGCACAGATATTTGGAATCTCTCAACTACACAGCTACAGGAGAATTTTTTTCCCCCTCTATCCCTTTACAAGCAGTGTAAATTAACAGGCTGTTTTCCTTTTCTTTGGGTTGCAGGCATGCTGATACACATTACCCAAATGCTCTTCTATCAGAAGTGAACAGGCACTCCAAGATATATTTAAAATGCAGAGTGGTTACACACAACAGCATCAATTCTTTGAATTTAAAAAGATGTGCACATAGAAGCCACATTTTTGGCCATATTAACTCAGTCAACAAGTTCTGAGTGCTATCAGACCAAATTTTCACTCAACATGTGTATTTTTTTTTAACAGACTGGCACAACTCCAATCCCTTTGAATCAAGATAAAAAGAACAAAGAAGTGCCTCTGTTCAAGTGATTCTTGGGTAGGGTGAAAAGCAGAAGCTGCCTTTTGGTTTGCCATGTTCCTGAGCCCCTTAACACATTAAAAAAATAAAAAAAAAAAAGAATCAAAAAAAAAAAGGAACAAAAATCATTTTAGATCCTACAGAGCTCATCTGCAATGCATCTTTAGCCACATTCCCCAGTCATTCCAGCATGTAACCCAAAGAATATTTTGCATATAAAAACAGTCATGTAACTACTGCCTTTTCTGTCAGCATTTATTTTGTATAATCTCATAGAAGTCATTTGGTAGTTTCCTGAGCAGCTCTGAGGACACCTCAGACATGAATAGCTGCAGCTTTCCTTGTCTGCCAGTGACTTCTGATGGCACCAAGCAGGGGGGTATAATTTGTACCTAATCACAGAGAAAAACCACAAATAAATTCAAGTAACATTAGGCATTTTAAAAAAATAAAAACTAATGTTCAGAATCTGCTCAAAGAAGACTTTTGCTGCCTGTGTCTAAAGCCCAGGGAGGAGGACTGGAGAGACTTTGTTGCACCTGGTTTCTTGCACACTTCTTCTTCATCCCCCACTTCATCCTCAGTGACCTCTGAGCCAGTGGTGTACTCCTCCTCTTCAGACAGCAGTGACTGCTGCTTCTAATCGACAGCAGGAGAGGTTAGAGGTTAAAAGTGAGGTTTGAATTTCTATGAAGTGATGGATTAAATGTGTCTTGAAGGAGCTCCCTGTCTCAGTGAGGTAACTGCGTGCATAGCTGGGTCCGAGGACACAGCTCGCAAGGGTTGAGGAAGGATTTTCAAATCTTTGCTTAAAATGCTTGGATATTTCGATTTCTGTTTCTTCCAAGTTGTCAAACATTTTAATAGGTTGCCCAGGGAAGCTGTAGAATCTCCATCTTAGGTTGGATGCGCCCCTGAGCAAAGCAGTACAGCTTGGAAGTCGAATTTAACTTGGAAGGTGGGAAGGAATACAAAGGTGACCAGGAGAGATCCCTTCCAGCCTGTATTACTGGATGATTCCAGGTTTAAAATCCAATGTATTGCTGGCTGTGCTATTTTTCTAATTAATAAGAAAAATTTCTCATGGTAGTAAATGTCTGAGCAAGCCACTTAATTACAGAACACAGGAAAATACAAGTTTACAAAGGGTTCTGCTCGGGCTTGCTGCATCCTGCAAAGAGCCTGAAACACTGAGATATTCAGTAATTAAATACGGTAATTAAATAATTGCAGTGCCCTACAAACACACACAGATCACACCAGAGCTATCTGCACTCATCATTTATTGCAAGCTGGGCTGGAATAGCTGGTTTTTGTGAACTCTTCCTGATACCTTTGGGTTTTTTTTATCTTCTATCATCACAAACTACAGGCTCCAGCACTGCAACAGATGGGCTCCCAGGGAACAGTTCCCAACACATCAGCACACAATTATGGAAATATTAACGTGATGTTTACATTGTTGGAATATGCACACATGTCTAAGGTCAGTGATAATGTGTGCCTGGGAATCCATGGGAAATGATGGAGCTTAACGAGTTCAAAAAAGTAGTGCTTCACACACAGTCTGTACTTTCTTGTAAGAGGTGTTGCTGTTCTGCAGCCTCCAAATTAAAGCAGAAGCAAGAAAATGCATTTTTCTAATTCATTAGAAAATAAGACAAAAAATCAAAGCTAGTTCTGTGCTAGTACAGAAGACCAAACAATTAAAATGATGAATAAAATGTTTTACTAACCAGCTGTAAAGCCCAGTTCTTCAGAGACAGAAACTGCAGTCACAAAGAGAGAGAAAGGGTGTAAGTCAAAGAACTAATAATAATTAGGAATTTTTTAAAAGTGAGTGGAATTCAAAAATACAAGTGTTATGTTATAATAACATCTTGGAGGGAGGCAAAAAACCACAACCAAAACAACCCCCCCAGTTACTGTTCTTTATTTATGGACCTGCAGAAGTCAGGTGGAGATCCTCAGAGACATCAGCAGACAGAAACAAGGCAGCAACTTTTAAAATACATCACGTGGCAAATATTTTAAAGCATGACTAGATCCTTAAATATCATCAGTTTAATCCCTCTGATGTACAGAAAGACAGGGCAGAGATTCTGCCTTTTCACCAACCAGGTATTTTGGCCACATGACACCCTGCAATGCTCAGCAGTAGGAGTTTAGTTTTTATTAAAAGCTGTCCAACAACTACTTCAAAGTATTTTTTTAAGAATCTTCATTGTCAGAAATAAGGGAGGGGAAAAAAAAAAAAAGTAAAAATCAGTACTCACAGCGTTGATTTCTCCAGTTTTGGGACCCCAGGGAGTGTTTGGTTCTACGAGCACATCACATTCAAGGCCTTTTTCATCACCAAGCCCAATACCAGAATCACTGGGAGAGAAAAACATAAACCAAAAATGAATATTTCTATTTCCCAGCTTCAGAATCAGTCTGTCTTTGCTCATCACAAATCAAGAGAGAAGACAGACCTCCGAGTCAGCCACGTCACATTTTGATAACAATACATTAAAATACAAAGATAGGAGTGGATGCTTTTGGAGGTTGAATGACTAAATGCCTGCTTGAAATGCAAAAGGAAAAAGCACTTGTTCTTCTCTTCCCAATTTCCAGCTAAACAAGTTATCTTTAAAAAGTCCTGTGACTCATTTTAAGATGGGAGAGAACTCAAATGGAACGAGCACACAGTGCTGAAGGCCAAGTTATTTCAGTCACAACACTACAATGTTCTTACCTATTCTCATCTTTAGTGAAAGGAACAACTATCACATCTCTGTGATGCAGCAGATCATTCAATATTTGAGTAGTCTGAGATGGCAAAGCATCCCCATCCTCATCTCCCGACGGTAACTCAACCATGTGATCCCTCACTTTGCAGCCCTGGGACACAGAAGATCAAACACCAGAGTTAACGGGAAGAACTGATGTCAGCAAGTGCAACATCAAAAGCTGAACTTTTGAACTCGTGTCCCCAGGTCCTGACAACAATTTACAACCTTTCATTTGGCAAAAGATTTCATTTTCATAAGACGCTGTAGCCCCCCTAGCCAGATATGATGCTCTGTTACAGGTGAGCTGCTCTTGAAGTACCTTTGGGAGGGTCGTGGGATTGAAATACCTTTGGGAGGGTCGTGGGATCGAACCGAAGGACTTTCTGGTTGCAACAGGGATACACTCCTGTCCCACTGGAGCCCAGAGCACTGGCTACACCTGGATAAAGAACTGCCTGGGGATGGTACTGGCAGTGGGAGAATTCAGTGCACAGGAAAGACTACATTAGGAAAACAAGAGAGAGAGAGAGAGGTGAGATTACCCGTGGAAGTCAAAATTTTGCTCTATGAAGAACATACACCAAGCTTTATTCCCATGTGTTTTCCAAACTGCTTTGATCCTTCCCTCACCCCCCAAAAGTCACCCACCACGAGCCCAAGTGAAATTGTACTGACTTGGTTACATCTTGAGCAGCTCAGCCAGTTGACAGTCCCCCAGAGGCGCCAGTAAACGTCCCTCCAAGACTTCAGTTCCTCGTGGAGGCCAATTAAATACTCATGGACTTCCCAGGTTTTGTCTCTGAGAAAAAGCCAAACATCAGGTCACACACACAGAGTCATGACTCTTGTTTTCATCCTGTCACCAGAACAGGGAGGTGGAAAAGGAGCAGAACAATATGTGTTCCACTAGTGAAACACCCTCAGCAGAGTTAGAGGATACAATGTGAGCCAATCGTGACTAAATTCAGAGCGTGACAGAAGAGCCTTTATTCTTCCACAAATCACCAATAACACTTACAGCTTGATTCATCTCAAAAACCACACACTGCAAATTTGTAAGCTAAATATCTTCTGTTTGTAAGCTAAATATCATCTTCCTATCTGCAACACAACAGTAATTGCTTAGTTTGGAGTTCAAGTTTGAAAACACAAGCAAAACCACATTTTTTGATGAGTGTACACATCTGACACCTCTAATCTTAAAATTACAGGCTTTGCTCCTTCCTAGTGATCAAATGAGACACACCTCTTCAGAATTCAAAGGAGAATATGCAGCTTGCAGTGGAGCACGTTACCTTCAGGAAGAGCAGATACAATTTCCCCCAGGTTTTAAGCCCTGGTCTGAACCATTTTTTGTTACATGGACTCCTGGTCTTGGCTAAGAGAGCAGTACTTGCAACTGGAAGTTAGTTCTAGGCACCACTAGAGGACCAGTAAATAGAAACCTATTTTTAAGTCATTAAAGATGGGCTTGGATTAGCTCCTGAGCCTGGATTCATTAGTGGCCAGGATCACTGCTCAGTAAACAAACTCAGCGTACACAAGCAGTGACGAGAACCACAGGGCAACCAACCAGAAGCCAAATAATCCTCTGAGTAACTGGAAAGCCCTGCACATTTATCTGTTGGGAACTGCAGAGCAGCTCCACAGGAAAGTAACACAATTCATCAACTTTACATGGCTAATCACCAGTGATCCTGATGGGTCAGGACAGGGTCACAAGCTGGGGTTCTATTTAGACTAATCCACACCTTGGAATAACTGCTGGGAGGTAACACTGAATAAACGTTGCTCCAGGAGCTGATCTGGGATTGTTTTGGATGTCCTGAACGAAACAGATCTGAAGAAAAAGGTCTCCTGTTATTAAATTTCCCACATCTTTCTCAAAGGGAGCATGTAAGGAGGAAGGAAACTGCAGCTGATCAGGTACTGATTTCATCAAAAGGAGGATCCAGCTGTTCACAACCCTGGATCAAACAGCCAGGATTGAATTAAACATTTGTGCCAAGTGAATCCAGGAGAGGTCCTGGAAGCTCCTCTGACAAAGACTTTGGAACAGACAAACAACTGGCAATGTTTATTTATAGCAGTCTTTAAGCAGGTTGAATATTTGATTTGACAGTGCAAAGTCGGTCCAGAAAACATTCCTTGGATTTTCTGTGCTGGCAGAGGTGGATCTACCCTTCACTAACAAACAGAAACGCAGCCTTTCATTTAATTGGTCTTCAACCACACACATCTTAAAATCCTCTGATGAAAGAATTAGCTGAGTATTTTCTATTTAAGGCAGTACAACCCAAAATAGCCCTCCCAGTAATCGTGGCTGCAGTTTTTCCAGTTCCCTTCAGCAGCAGCACTGCTGAATGAATTTGAGAAGTACATCATCATAATTATCCTCCCCTCCCCCTTTTTTTTTGCTAGAAGTCAACAAGAAGTTGACATTTTTCATACACTCTTAACATATGTATAACTCATTTTATGAGTACCTTGTAAAATCACCCAAAATCATCAAGTTGAAGAAATATTTATGTGTGTATATATATATTCACTACCTTATATGAACATAGACAATATTCCCATGTTGATCTATGTTGATTTTTCCCGGCACACAAGGAATTCTCCTCTCAGTTTCTTTAGTTATCAGCTTTTTACACAAACAACACCTAGGTTATAAAAACAAGAACAGAGAAAGAAAGACAGGAAGCACTGGAGTTAAGAGCAGGACCTCAAAACACAGGGACTGCCCTTGCAGCTGAAGCAGCAACATAAAAAGGCCATACCTGTACAATGTTGCTGCATTTCCTCTGGAATCTGGATTTACATACTCTGGATCAAACAGCCTCTCAATCTTCTTGCAGAAAAGTTTACTATTAATGACAGCAACACAGCTTTAGCCATTAGAAAAAACTGAAAACTGCTTTATGTATAGTCAGATTATTTATACTCTGATAAGTAAAGTCACTCTCAGAATCGAACTTTTAACATAATTTTCCTTTAAATTATCCTGTTCATCTCTTATTTTCACATTGATGTGAAATTCTCAGGCTGCCACCTGAGAATTCCTGAATAATTTGTCCAGGTCACACTCCCAGCGTGGCCTTTCCTTTCTTTCATCATTTTAATATAAAATTATTACGTCACACGGTGATGTTCTGCATTAAAGATACATTATATGAGGATATAAATTGTGTGTGTAGATATATATAATTTCAAACCCCACAGGCTTAGCTGTTGTGAAATATGATCCAAAAAGCTCAACAGCACTTACAGAGCAAAAATTACCTCTTAAATTTGTCTCTTTTGTCCTTCAGCTCTTCCAGCTCGTTGTGCCTGAAGAGATCAGCAATGTGTGTGACCAGATTAGCGTTGATGCAGTTCATGTTACAAGGGGTGGCTACAATGGCATTCATATTTTTGTGACAATAGTGAATACATTTTTCCACCTAGGAGAAACAGAAACATGAGTGTTAAGGAATTGCAGACAAAACTCACAGTAACTGCTTCAAGATTTTTATTTTTTTTTATTTAAGTGTGGTGTTTTGGAAAACTATTTCAGTTCAACTCAAAAATAAGAAGTCTCAGATTTGCTTCAAAGAGGCTCTGAATTAATGTGACTATCAGTTAGTTTATGTTCTCCTCCAAAATCTACAGAGCAAGCACTTCTACAAGTGTTTCATCTTCAACAAGTGGTACCTTCCAAGTGCTTGTAAAAAGAGAACCATTATATATATTTATTTATATTATTTATACCCACATTATATACAGTATTGCCTGGATCTCAATTTAAACACTTTCCTGTGGGTCCCCCCAGTGACAGGATTTTTGACAGACATTTAACAATCAGTCAGTAAATATTACTTATATAGAGCTGAAAGACCAGATCCTAAATTGCACAGGTGTTGTTGAAGGAAAAAAAAAGGGATATAAAACATAGATAATCATTTAATTCATAATCTTCTTTGATAAAACTATGAAAAGTAAGTTAGTGATGGCACTGAATAGGAAAGGTGTTGAAAGTTCCAAACTGTTCTCATTGCATCCCCTGTTAATGGAACAGCCAAAGCACAACAAACAAGCTGGTGAACAGCTGGTAATTAACTGTGCCCTCATGGCAGAGAATCAATCTTCCTAAATACTTACTAATGAATCCATCTTCAAAAACTCGGAAGAAATAAGAATTGATATGACATTTGATGGTTCTAAAAGAAAACAAAAAAAGGTTTGTTTGTTGGGTTTTTTTTTTACATCATTAATTTTTGTAATATTTATCACACCCTTCCCTCTGCACATTTAGTATCATTTTACCCATCAACCTGCCATTCCATCTTCCAATACACAGAACATTTTCCACCTTAAGAAACAAACCTTTGGCTTATCATTTAGGTGGCCAGAGTACAACTATAACAACCTGGAATTTATTAGAACTGGGAAAAGTGGCTTCACGGGGATACCATGATTAAAAAATGACACAACAAGATTAACTTCCATCTGTAGCCATCACACCCAGCTGAGATTTTAATTCACACAACCTTTGCATTGCAAGTTATATTTTAAAAAATGGTAGGAAAGGCTCATAAAAAAATCAAAAACTTGCTTCCAATCCATAAAGGCAAAGGCTCTTCTACCATTGTATCAGATTGCATGGAAATGGCAGAAAACACTGCAATTGTTGAGCAGAGGAGAAACAAAACAACCCCCAACACTCATCAGTATTTTAAAACTACCACTCTGCTGTTGGCCAGGTCTGAAGAGCCTTAATTAAAAATGCCAGATCCCCAAAATCAGAGCTCTTTGAGTGCTTCTAAGCTGGGAAAGTGCCTCAAAGCTGGAAAAGCAGAGACATCTCCTACAATCACCAGAGCACCTCTGTTGCCACACTCGCCAAACCTCAGCGTAATGGTCAGGAACAAAGAGGCCAAACCGCATCATCTCCAACCAGCACCGGCCACAACGAGCCCACCACGAACCATCTGCAGGTTTCCTATTACCTAAAGTGGGCATTTCGTTGAGCTCGGAGTCTCGGGTGTTCCTCTTGACGTATCTGATGAGCCAGTCGAAGATGTGGACGTCGCAGTGCACGGAGATGTCGACCTCCTCCCAGCGCTGCGCGTCCACCGACAGGTACTCGCCGAAGTACTTCATTTCCGACACCAGGAGGTCTCGGGGGCACACAAAATCCTCTCGGAGGTTTTTGGCTTCGTCACACACGTGGATCACCATATTTGGCCTCAAAAAAACCAAACAAAAAGCCACAAGATAAATTAGGACCTTAAGCCAGTAACATCAAATGCCAGCGATCACATTCCCCGGCTCTGGATCTGGTGGCACTAACAGGGGTTTTGTCACCAGAAGGAAAACAAATCGCAGTTATTAATATTAATATTAATCCCAGCTATTAATAGAAGCTGTTGTTGGATGGTATTGTCATGGGGAGAGGGCAGATGCATACGCTCTGGGTAATTCAATTAAGGCACAGGAGATGGAAGATTAATTATTAGTTGTAGGATACTACCTGAATTACGTGGAGAACTTGTTTGTTCTCCCTTTTTAATTTCCTTAAAATAATAAGAATAAAATAAAATATATACATACATGCCTAAGTTAATGAGGCACCGAGGACAATAGCTGCTTACAGCAGCAATTTTCATCTGTGGAAATTAAATTGGTTTATTGTATGTTAAAATGTCTATTTCTTAATATCAAAGCTGGAATCAGTAAAGGTTGTCTCTACAGAAAGTTGGTTGCTGTTGGGTTTCAACCAAACATTATTTTATGTGTATTTATGCAGGATGGAAAACAGGGATGTGATGGTATCACAGTGACACGCGTGGCTACTGGAATTCATGGTAAAATTTTTCATTTACCCCTTTTTTTCCTGTTTTTACATAGGACAAATTTACGTTCCTAGGATTTTTTTTTTCATTAAACATTCTTGAGCTTCAATCTTGTCTCTTTTAAAATCAGGTTATGTTTCCCATTCCTGCCACAGCAGAGATCAATCACCCAGAGGAACACAATGGACAGATTTATAAATATCCCTACTGCACTCAAAACTTCCCTTTTTATTAGTTGTTCTCTTTCTGGTAGCAGAAGAGCATGAGCCATTTAGACATCACTCTGTCAGTTCTACAACCCCCCAGATAACAAACCCACAGAGAACTCCTTACCCCTGGCTTTCCTCACTGCTTTCTCCACTGTTATGTACAGGACCTTTCTCAGATTCTGAAGAATTCCTGGTGGAGGTTGCACTGGGCCTTCCTTCAATGCAAGGAGAAAAGGGGCTGCATTAGAACAAAAATGCCTGACCTGCTGTTCTCCAGCACCTTGGAGACACAGCCTAAGTGTGGCTGCTATGCTGGAGCAATGGGACACAGCAAACAACCCATCTGCTGCTAAACAACCCAAATTCCTGCTCTGAATGTACTGGGAATTCACACCAGCAGCGCTGCTGGGCTGCCCAGACACTTGGCTACAAACACACATCAGTCCTGTCTCAGCACAGAGCATGGGGATTCACAGCCTGCAGCACTTCCCTCTGGGAATACAACCCATTCCTTCAGCTCTCCTTGGCTGCCCTGTGGGATGTGAGTCTTAAGACTCTGCCACATCAAACCTTCTCTTTCCAGAAGGCTTTGCTGCCAGGACATAACAACTTGAGACTAATTCCACCTCTCACCCAGAATGTTGTCAGCTTGGAAATTAAGCCCTGTCCAAACAGAAGCACAGAAGACTTTTAAGAGGTGTTTTCACCAAGTTTTTCCACACATGTGGCTCAAACATGTGGCTGATGATGTAAAACAAGGCTCAAAGAAAGCAGAGCACGAGATCTGACTAGTCCTAGATGGAGGTTATTCCAGGACCAAGGGACAGCTGCACTTCAAACAGTTTGTCTTCACAAGCAGCAAAAAGGGGATACAAAACCCAGTGAAGTCCAGGGGGTCTGGTCCCCAAATCCAGTGAGTTCTGGGGCAGGGGACAATGAAAAACTCTTCACTGGGATGATGAATCACTGCAATCTGAGACTTCAAGAATCTCACTTACAGGTCAGGAAGATTATTCTTTTTTAAACAATGGAAGGGCACACTTCTGTCTTCCCCTGATGAAAACCCATAAGGTCATTATTTTCCATGATTACACCATTCCCTCAGATTTTTTAGGAGTTCCAGAAGCATCTTCTCCCTCTTGTGTAACATAAGAGGCTGCACTCTTCTGAAGAAGATTAAAATAGACCTCTTCATCTTCTGGCTAAATAACTACAGCAGACTGACAGCAAAAGTGATATGGAACAGCAGTTGTGCCCTTCAGGAAACCAAATTATCCTTCCAGAGGCAGAAGAAACAAAACTTTCTTCAAAGATACAGCCTTGCCCAGCTAAGCCTCAGTAAGGCCAGAATAGAGGGAAGACAGTAAATAAAAGGGGAAGATTCACCTGACAGAGCCCAATAAAACCCTGGAAAGGGCTGGTGCAGCCACAGCCATCCCAGGGCAGGCAGGGCAGGTGGGAGATTGGGAATGCCAGGGAAGGTGAGAGCTTTAAAGGAAGGGACTGGGGAAATACATGGCATGAAGGAATTCTGTCTGCAAATACTGAGAAGGTTATTTTGGACACTGGGAAGTTATTTGTTAAAGGAAATAATGCTGACAATAATATGCAACACAGGTAACTTGACCACATGTTTCTTCCTGTCTTTTGTTTCCCCCCCCCGAAAAGCTTACAGATTGATTGACTTCTGAAAATTAGTAATAAATGCTCTGGGTAAAAGGCTATCCTATATGCTTGTTTACTGCCATAAAATGCATTCAGAGGGACTGAACAGCAGTTTGCCTCATAATTAGCGAGTATTAAATGAGCTTTTATAACTCAGCCAGAAGCAGAATCCAGCTCAAAATGAGCTTGGTCCCATTTGCTTTCCCTTGCTGTTACTCCTGACTACAAACAAATGCAAACAGGCCCAAAATTCTTGATCCTCACAATAAGCAAATGTGGAAAAAAATCCACTAGGAAGTAATTAATTAAGCAAAATGCGTTTACAAATAGGCTTTTCTCAAATCCCCAATTCTGAAACGTCCAAATATTAAGAAGGTGAGTTCACTCAAGCCTGTGAGAAAAAAAGATTAATTATCCTGATTTAATATCAACAAATTACTTATAAACAGAGCAAGTGACTTATCCAGAGTCACAAAGAACACAGAGAATAATCTCAGGCTAAGATCTGGGAGTAGGAAACACGACATTAGTGTACTTAACTGCATTAATGCTCATTACATGTATTACTTTGGTAAAAAGAAAACATGCACTGATTGTCTAAGGAGTTCTAGAAGCAGAGTTAGCTCATTAACTGCCTCCTGGGAAGCCACTAATCTTATAAATAGGCACCTGTGGGTGCCAGCAGCATTTATTCCACATCATGCATGTAACTACATAATTGAAAGCTGACTGGAAGCATTTTTTTTTTCAGTCTAGACCCTCCATGTACACGTTTCCGATATCACCTCTTGATTAGAGTTATTAAAAACACTTTATTCATCCCCCCCAAAGTTCAAACAGCTGGTTTTCTGCTGCCAAGAGAACAGTGAAAGCTGCAGCACTGTGAAGGACATCAGAACAGAGAATGTTTTGTTGAAGTGCTTCGCTGTGATCTTAATTTTTAACACAGAAACTGTTTATTCATTACTGAAGCAAATTTCTCATGCAACACATCGAGTCCTACAGGCACTGAAACATCTCAGTCTCTAATGAAAATGAGAGAATAACTATCACACATTTAATTACAACTTCTGACAGAAGTATTTAGGAACTCTTAACAATATTTAATTGTGATTGAATTCACAGCTAATAGGACTGGTCCTCTTCTGCCAAATGATTACTGGCACATATAATTGTCTAAGACACATTATATGTCATCACAAGACTGTCTCGCTTCAAAAATTAGCTGCATTATTCTCCAGCTCCTCCACAGCCACCTCGCCACGGAGCAGCAAGGGAAACACAGGGCTTGGAGCTGGGAGAGAAAGGTTTGGCCTGAAGGGATCACCTCCCCAGCCGCTCCCTGCAGCTTCTGCACACAACAGCCTCCAGTTATTGAATTAACGCTGCTTCACCTGCCTGCAAACGGCGGCAGCTTTGACAGCACACCCCAAAACCCCAACCAGAGGAGTCACCAGAAGGATTCGTGCCTTTTGGAAGGACGAGTTATTAAAAATACCCAAGCAAGCATCAGTTCTCAAACTAAACTCATGGCAAGTGCCTTCATGTACACGTTACACTGATAACTTAACTTTCCAAGGATGGACAACTGTTATTCCTGGGTGGACCTACCACTCAGGACAGACAAGCATGCACATATTGATTATCACCAAAGCCAATATATTTCAGAATGACCAAAAACATACCAGTTATGGTAATGGAATCCTGCCCAATAGCAGGCTCCTGAAACTCTGTCTGTGTATCGAGCAAGGAGGATTTGATGTACGTAGCTAAAGATTCCACAGGACTCCCACCAGCAGCCATCAGGGAATTATACTGGTTGTCAACAGGTGAACTTCCACTGCTTTTTAGCTCATCAAACCTTTTTGCACACTGTCACAAGATTAAATGATAGGACAATGAAGCAGGAGCTTTCAGTACATTGGTAATAACTATGACTCGAGATGGATACTGTATTTCCCATCTCCTGCATGGGAACAGTTACCGATATCAAACTTACAACGCTTCCTAATTGGTTTGTGGTATCAGGAAAGTGCAGAAATACACAGTAAAACAAGAGTTACACAATTAAACACTCCAACAGAAAGAGAAAAAATTAGATAGAACCCGTTTCAACTTTCATTTCCTTGAACACCCCGATTTCAAGCCCCGTTTACAAAATGGAAAGTTTTGAAACTTTGAATGGGGAGAGTTTGAATTCTCACTTTGTAACTAGTTCTTTTACCATAAACATGGTCAAATATCATCAGAAGTAGCTCTAGTAATTGGTTACTAATCTTTTTTTTTTTTTAAATTTTATGACCTCCACTCTGATTTGGACAAAAGTGGTGATTCCCACTGCAGTTCTCTTGACTTCCAATTCCCACTGCAGTTCTATTAACGTCCCATTCCCTATTTTGACAAACTAGAAAGTCTTTCTGTTCTGTAATTTGCACCCATACAATCACAATTATGGCTTAGGTTCAGCAGAGTCCTACACGCAGCTAATTTACACTTTCACCAGTAAATCTACTGAATTCCACAAGTGATGCTCCCGTGACACAGGTGTTGGGCTCCACTCCAGCAGCTGGTTTGATCCATTTATTTTGGGCTGATTTAACTGGCATTGCTTTGTGCCACCTGCCCCTTTGGGCCAGGGGCACACAGTGACACCCTTCTGATGTTCACGTCTCAAATTTTGTGGTGATGCCAGTCCACCATACACAACAAGTAAATGGGGACCTCTGTTTTCATGTAACTGCCTCGAAACGGGGACTCCACATATTTGAAACATTTCGCTCTTTCAAAGCAGAGTAATCAGACAATCACTAAGCAATCATATTGATTGGGGAGAGAGCTCACTGAATTGTTATTTTATTTGTTTAATGTGCATGGGACTTGTGCATACTGAGAGGTGAACAGCAGAGATGTCCCCGAGCACTTTGCCAAGCCCTTGGGAGGCAGCAACATTCCAGAGAGGCTTCTGCTCCCAATCCTTCATTTTTATGTTCTCAATCCAAGGTTACAGCAATGCTACAAATGTGAGCTGACACTCTGGATTATGTTTGCAAGGAAATTCAAGACCACTGGCTCGTTTTTCTTTCAGCTTTGCTGAATCACAAGGGCAGGAGACGTTTGCCTCTCTCAGCAAAAAGTCAAAATTATTACTAAAAATCCAAGCATTTCACCAGGAAATTCAGCAATCCGGAAAGAGAAGAGTATGGAAGTAGAAGGTTCTATTCCAATCAAAGAAGGAAAAATCCACATCTTGCAGGGTCAAGCAAGAGGCAACTGAACTCTTAACTACCTATCAGAGGTCTGGAGCTCCTACCTCCTTACAGTTGTAACAAACAAAATAGAAAGTTATGAGGTTTGCAAGTAAGGATACTAAAACCCCACATGAGGTCAGTGGGTACTGGCATCCTTTCATCAAAGTCCTAGCTATCTAATTTGAAATTGTTTTTTTTTATTCTGCTTTTTAACTTTTCATTTCCAGGAATTTTTATTCTTATTCTATACCAGTTCTAACGAAGGAAAATGCAGAATGCATTGTTTAATGTCAACATTCAGGTTCTCATAGAAACCAAAACATCTTTTTTTTAACCTACTGCTCATTGAACATTGCCAATTCTTTAGGCATAAATCACTCGAGGAACCAAAAATCCCTTAATTTCAATTTCCCTCCCTCCCCCCAAAATATTTTCTTTTCCACAAAGCATCACAAGTCGTTTTCTCAGCAAACTCACCTCTTTGGATGTATATCCTGGCACCAGCCTTGCCACACTGTCCCAGTTGATAGGCTGGGGAAACCCAATGAGGGAACACAGGATCATATCCAAAACCATTTGGTTGTTGTCATAGGGGAAGTTATTGTTTTCTGACAATCCACGGCTCATCTTTGGCTACTTAAGCCTAGAAGAGAAAGACTTGTCAGCAAGCCTCGCTGCATGGTCTGCTAAAGCTGGGTCTGTGTCACCTGCAGCACTCCGAAAATTCCCATGGGAAGTGTTTACAATCAAGTACTGAGGCTTTAGCTGACAAAATTGATGTATTCTCCAAACCTCGAGGGAGAAGCAGATGTGAAAAACAGAGATGCTTCCCAAAATCTCTGAGGCAGCCTAAGATATATTTAATCCCTGATTAGCTGGGATTATCAGTTCCAAAAACCTTCGGCTTCAAACTGAACGCCAGAACAAAGCATATATGGACAGTATTAAACACCTTTAAAAAAAAAAAAAAAATCAGCTCTCCCATTTTGAAAATTAAAGCATATTTAGGGTTGTTTTTTCTTTACCAAATAGCAACAGTAAAACACAGTAAAAGCTCCAATGACTGTTTTAGCAGGTGCTGGGAAAGAACTGCAGGCATTAATCAAGCGTTTCATGTTCAAGGAACAGCCAAAGAGCTTAGTAAGGATTCATACCTGGAAAGCCATTTGGAGCATTTCGGAAGGACCTTAAACAGATCACATAAATAAGAGAACTCAAAAGCCACACACAAATTTTTGACTGACAAAGCAAGTATTGTAGAGAAAATAACACTGGGACAGTAGTGGATTTAAGGGATCACTTGTTACTAAAAGTACACTACCCATGGATGTTTCCTTTGCATCACCCACTTTCTAAAAGAAAAGATATTTAAAACACACAAAATAGCCCTGACTTTGTTTCTGCCTCTAGGAGCTCTTCCAGCACTTGTTTTTTTTGTTTGTTTTGTTGGTAGAAACAGAAATCACGATAGCAGGTAAAGTGTAAGCTTTCAGCCTCTAAAAAGAGCAGCTGAATTAAAGCAGAAAGAAAACACCCAGAACCCACCAAGAGAATTCTTAGGTTTCCTACCAAAAAACAAACAAACAAAAAGACACGAAACAGAAGGCAATTTGACACAACAATTCTAACCAAACAAAATCTGCTGCAAAACACGTCAAACAGGGTATGTGAGCCCAAACTTTCCAGAGCCCAAACTTTCCAACCGAGAGGAGACAAAGGCAGGTCATCCCCTGCAGTCACCGTGTCCTGATTCCTCACCCTGCTGCACCTCCAAGCAGTGTCAGCGTGGTGGAGATTTCTCACTGACAGTGTGCAGACACATTGTCAGTGCCCAGGACAGCTCAGCACCGGCGGCAAAGCTCAAAGTGGTTACAAAATACAAAGCTGACTTCTTGTGCCACATCACGCAGCTGGTTTAAAAATATGGTTGCATGAGATAAGTCAGCACTGGAGCATTACAATCCCCTGGTCTCACACTGTAAAATAGGCTTAACGCGAGTAAAATTACCAGCGATGTCGATAATCCGTAAATCACCATTCGGAGGACTAGTTCTATGGGATGATTACACTGGGAAAGCAAGGAGAGAAAGGGAAAGCAGTTACTTTCCAACAATTTGGAGCCTATAACTCACAGGGAAAAATTTTGAGTGCTTCGCTGGTAACAAGTTTACTCCCCATCTCAGACCTACGAGCATGAAGCAAGCCGGGCATGAAGGGGATGACAGGTGCCCTAAAACGTGGTGACACCTTCACAGAGAATCAACTCTTGTCCTCTCAGGTATTTTTATTTCATTTGCTTACTCTGCACGTTAAAATACAGTTTTGTATACGCCTATTACTGCAAGGACAAACGAAAGAAGAGACTTAACTGCAAGCCAACAGAAGTTAAATATTTTTATTTATATTCTGGAATGGGCACAGGACTCCTCTTTGAGGTTTTACACTTGATTTTTAACATTTGCCTTTTTGGCCTTTAGGAAATCCTGTTGGAAATGCAGTTAAAGACACATGCAGGGTTCTGCCTCGTGCAAGAACTGTAAGAGCAGCAGCAAAAAGCCTGCAATAAATCATATTGTTAGGAGAGAAAGCAACTTCTACAGATTCTCTCCATTCTATTAATGCAACGAAAGCTCGAGTTAACCCTTCATCAGCTGTGGAAGTGGGAGGGGAAAAAAGCTGCAGAATTATTTAACTCTGACCAACTCATTTGAGACGCACAATATAGAAAGGATACACAAGAACAGGAATTTCTATTAATGCTCAGAATTTTAATAAATTGGTGCGGAGGATTCCTAAGAGTTAATTCATTATGCAGGAAGTTGCTTTGCATTACGGAAACGCACCGTCCCATGTAAGACCGACTTAATAAAAAATATTATTAATTAAAGCAAATAATTAATGCAAAGATGAAGAATTACTCCCCCCGTAAGAATAACCTGAGGGAAGGTGAAGATGGTGGGACGGGCACGATGTTCCTTCCACAGCCCCGAAACGCAGCGAAGTGATGCTGCAGAACGAGGAACAACAGCAACTTCGCGGCTTGCCGAAATTAAAAAATCGGAAGCTGTTCAAACGAAAACAATAAAAGCCGGTGCCAGGGTCGAGCCCCCCCTACAAGCGCAGCAGCCTCCTCGTGCGACGCCCTCAGTGCGGGCACCCCCGGCAGTCCCCCCCGGGGCGCTGTCCCAGGTTTACCTGGCGGCTCCCAGGCGCGGGGTTGGCGGGACGGGACGGGACGCGGCTCCTCCTCAGGCCGTGCCGGGGCGGCGGCTCCGCGGGGTACCGAGCGGGACGAGCGGGACTCAAGGGACTGCCGGTGCGGACCCGCCGCGCCCTCGCCCGCCGGCACCGCCCTCACGGGGAGGGCGGGACCGCCCTGAGGGGGGACGGAGGGGGGACGGTGCCCGCCAATTGGCGCCGGGAGGGCGCCGAGGCCCCGCCCCACAGCGGCGGGCGGAGCCAATGGGGGGGCGCGGGGCGCTCCCGCCCGCGGCGCGCGCCGGCCCCGCCTTTGCCGCAGTGCAGCGGCGGCCGCGGCGCCCCCTCGCGGCCCGCGCGAGGCGTCCGGTCGCCCCGGCAACGCCCCGCCCCCCCGCGCGCGGCGTCACGGTGACGTCACGGGGGTGAGGCGGCCCCGTGTCAGTCCCGTCCCGACACAACCTCGGGGGGGGGGGGGAGGGAACAAATGACGTCACAGGGCCCCTCCTGACGTAAGCATGGCACGTTAATTAAGCGAGAGCGTGTTAACCACTCTGCACTGCAAAGATAAGGAGCCTCAGCTTGAGTTTTACCCAGGGTTTCAGCTGCTCTGAATGTCCGATGCGCTATGAACTATCACAGCAATGACCAAACACTGAACTCAGAGTTAATGACACAGAACAGCCCAACAAACGGGTGTGTTCTACCAGTTACTCTGCAGAGGGTCAGACAGTCCCAATCCCATTCCTTACCCTGTGCCATCTACTGCGTCAAATATTCCCAAACATTTTAAGGTGACTTCCCTTGGGAAGCCACCTGTGCCTGCTAAAGTTTAGCACAGATCCCCTTTTCTTACGTAACAATCCTCCCCAGCCGTGCCTTGTAACTTCCCTTCCTTCTGGGTATTTTTGGAAGAATAACCAATATTAACTGTTTTCTTCCAAAAAGCCCACCCCTAAACTCTGCAGGAACACAGTGAGGGCAGAGAATGCCAAAAAAAACCAAAAAAACCACCAACCTGAAAAGTTCAGAAACAAAGGATTCCACCAATCTAGAAAAGGGTATGAAATCCAAATTCTCAAAGTCAGTCTGAAAGCTTCCCTTGGGTCTCAGGGAAAGCAGAAAATGCTCATATTATACCATCCCACAGCAATCCAGAGAATAAGGTGAAATATTGCTGGATTATGATGGCATTCAGTTATTTTTTAATTAAAACCTCTCTCCCATCTTCAATTTTACTCATTTGCTATTCTGGAGACTGTGCTTTATCAGCTACAATAACTCGAAGGTACTGGAACTATTGTTTTGCATTTTTAACTTCTAAAGCCAAAAAACTCTTAAAGAGAGCCTCTGACAGCGTAAATAATCCACGTGGTTAGTCTCAGAGTTTTGTGACTATTGTGTAATTTTGGGAATGTCAGTGGCTCCAAGCAGATAAAGATCCAGGGGTGCCTCTGTTACCAGTTAAACCAGTTACACCAGTGCATTTGCTCCAAGGAGAGATTATCCAGCTGGTTAAAGGCTGTGTTCAGCCACAGAACCCAGGAAAACCTTCACTGCAAACAGACCAGATTTGTTCTTGCTTTGTATTTATCTCAGGAGCAAATTTCACCGAGACAACAAAATTAGATCAGAACCACCTCAACAGCCCAGCTCCACACAAAGAAGAGTTTTCTGAAAGTGGGCAATTTATTAAGCTTTCCCAGACAAACAGAGCATTTTAAATTTATTATTCAGGAACCTGAACAAAGCTTTGGGCATGTGCATGTTCACGTTCTGCTTGCAGCCAGAGGACCACTCAGAAGTGGCACCTGCAGCTCACGGCGTTCAAGCAGAAAGTGGTTGATAAACAGTATCAACAAGATTAAAGGAAAAATAAACTAAAACCTTCTACAAACAAACGCTCAGAGGTCTGTTCCAGACTTCCAGGTCTGCTACAAAGAACATAAGCAGTTCCAAAGAGCAACACAAAGCTAACTTTGTATTTGCAGACCTCAAAAAAAATAAAGAAAAAAAAAAAAAAAGCTGATTGCCTAATGCAGAAGTTGAGCAATATTTCAACCTGTCTTTTCTGCTTTCCTCTTCTACACACTCCTGGTGCAGCCACACCTGCTCCTTTTACTCTTCTCCCCTTCCTAAAGTTGGGTAAGTCTCGAGCAGCCTGTCCACCAGCCTTCCTTTTCCACTCAGGGTTCATTTAGGTGCTTTTTTTCTGTAGCCTGACACATGGACAAAAACAGACAGTGAATTGCAGGACTCATTTTGTTGTTGTTTTCTTTTTTTTTTTTTTTAACCTGATACTACTTTGTGCATTAAAAAAAGAAGAAAACCAAAACCTTGAAGCACAGTATACACTTTACTTCAAGAAACTTGAATACCCCCCTGCAATCAGTACAATTAATTGGGAGTTAAATAACTAACTCAATTTCCTCGGAGCCTCCTTCTCCAATTAAAGTAATTGCAAGATTGAAAGGATTAAAATTCCTGTTGAGATTTAACAGATACAACGATGACAATTAGTGACTGGTAGGCTGAGTCAAGCTACTGTAAGGACAAGGCAGTTAAGTTTTGAAGAAATTATGTTCCTACTAGAAGAATTGTTTTCAAAACAGTATGACCTGAAAGAGAAATTAAACTCATCTTACTAAAAACCAGTAAGATTTAAACATTCCAACAAACATCATGGCACTGTCTTCTCATCTTGTTCTGAGCCAGAAAACAGGGGAAAAAAAAAAGACAGAAAACCAAAAAAATCTACTTAAATGGATACTCTAAAAAAAAAAAAAGTTTGGGGTTTATTTATTAATTTATTTAAAGACCCTTCCTCTGACTGAAATCTTTCACTGACACTAGAGAGGCTGACAGTCCATTAATTAAACCTCATGGCAGTAAATTAACTCCCTCCAGTGACACACACTGCAAACAGAACTGAACTCTTTATACTCCTTCCCCCCCCTTTTTTCCTCTCTAGATTTTACATTTCAGAATTTTTTCCGCTGTTTTCATTTCAGCAACAGATCAGATTCCCAAATATAGATAATTTTCCTCTATGCCCTGGTACACAGGGAAACATCTCAGGAACATGTTCTGGTTTAAACCTATTAAAACTAGTTTCAAGTGCCTCACTTGCCCTTTAACTCCTCTTTCCTTTATATCTGCACTTGAAAATCTAAAAAATTTTGAATAAATTATTCTAATCACCATCTCCCAATACCTGAGAACAACTCCTTAAATTCTTGCTCTATTTCTCCCCAACAGGCATTCAAAGATTACTTTAAAAATCCAAGGCTCCAGCATGATTATCAGTCTTTTCAGCCACTCCACCTCAAGAAAATTGTGCTCATTTCGGAGTTTTGTTGTGCTGAACAGACTTCTACAACCTCAAGGCCAGCAAATGCAACCGAAACATAAATACTGAAAGCTTTGCTGGCACATCATGGGTGTTGCAGATCTCTGTGGGTCAAACTGGAACTACTCAAAGGTATGTTCCCTACTTTACACTTTTGAGAACCTTTAAAATAAAAAAGCTGCTTTAATGATTAAGACAAACTTATTTAATCCACTGATGTGACCTTCAGGAGTTCAACATGTTACACATCCATACTACAAGGATAAAAGTTTTAATTATCTTTGCTTCATTTAGCAAAAAAAAAAACCCTGAAATGGTATTTCAGGACAGAATTCTCAAACACCGATATGAATAAAATACTAAATACTCTGAACAGTCTTAATATTTTTATGGCTTTTGATAAACTGGAGCCCTCCAATGTTATGGGCAGATGCAAAATTTACCACCTGAAAGGCAGCACAGAGAGTTTGTCCAACTCCAAGACCTTCACTGAGACAACTAAGCAAGAAATGTTACTTTTTCTTTGCTGCTCCAATTCCTTTCACCTTCCCCCTAACCAAAGCCTTCTTACTCCACTGAAAGGCAGGAGAGGTATTTTGACATTCATATAAAGCCAATAAGGGGCAGAAACAAGTGGAGATGCAGGTGGTGGACAGTGGATGGGCAGCTAACAGGCTAAAACACAAAATGGCCACGAGTAATGCAAAGTTAATTTACCACAGAAGGGAGTAACAACTAATAAGTGCCTGACTGCAGAATAACTTTTATTCCAATTCCTTTTAATGAATAAAACAGAACTGGTTAGAACTACTGGTGAAGCCTCACTGCTCTTCCCCTGTGAAGTCTGCTTCTCCTCCTTTCCTCACAAATCCCTTTTTTCTAAGAGCTGAGCTCTTTATGAACAGAGCCCTACTTATGGAAAGCAACTTAAAACTTAGAAGCATCCAACTGGGTCTCCTGAATCTGCTGCAATTCTCCCACCTTCCAGAGGGAAACAATGTGCCAATTACTGTTGCATGGCCCTCAGTGTGCAGCTCTGGAGGACACCTCACAAAAATCCATCTTCCCTTTGCACATCCACTGAAGAGGCCTCCTGTCAAGCCAGTACTCTAATGGGGTCTGAGTGATAACCCCTCATTTCACCAACAGTTTGTCTCCTTAATAGGGGCAGTCCCTGTTGTTTTCCTTTGTTTGCTTTGTACTAAATGCCTCGACTCTCCTTATCTCAAGATCTCAGGAGTCGCTGCCAGGTGTTTGGATTGAAACACTAAGGTACAGCCTCAGGTGGGTCAAAAATAAATCCTACAGATTGGAGCAATCATTTCTCCACCCCTTCACCAGCCAGTAGCAGCAATCACTGGTGCAGCCCCATCAGTGTTCCACTACAAACCAGATTTTCCAACAGAGCCTAAAGTTGCATCAGGAAAGCACAGTTCAGTTGCTTTGTTGATCAAAGTGCATCAGAGTTCCTGTTTCTCTCCACTGCCGCCAGTGGGGTCGGGTGCCACGGGAACTTTACTACTTCCAGCAAAAACAGTTTCAAAAGCAGCTTCCTGCTCCTCTAAAGTCACAGCAGCAGTGGCTCCTCTACCAGGTGTGCTGGGGAAGGCTGGACGCTGCTCAGCAATCTTTTCCAGGTCCACCGTTCTCCTACCTCTTCTTTTGCCCAGGATTTTGATGTAATTAGCTGGCACAAGTCCCGTTGTTTGGCCATCGTAACTGGCCAGGAGCCAACCACGGATTTTGGGTTGTTGTTCTGAAGGGGAAAACGCAAAAGCATCAAGTTGCGAAACAATTCAACAACACTGAACAAAACTACTCAGTAGGTTTTATTACAACGCAAATAATAACTTAGTGGTGGTGGGGGAATCAAATAAGGTGGTTTTGGTTTTTTAGTTTTAACTTTCAGGCTTTAACACTATAACTTCACCATGATTAGAAAATAAACAGAAATAAATAGAAAAATACATTAGAAAAAAATAAAAATTAAAAGTTTACCTTTGGGTGCTAATTTTAGCATGTCACCAGCACGGAAAGAAATTTCTTCTTCTGAGAGAGCATTGAAATCATATTCTGCTCTTCCAACTACATGGTCATCTTCTCCACTAGCCCAGTTACTGGACACTGTTTGCAAACATACATTAAAAGTTTATCTGCTTTGAATTACAAAGTTTGGTGCGTCTTTTTAAAAGGAAAATGAAGAAAACACTTTCACTTCCTCGCTAAAACTTTTCCAGCAGAGAACTGACAGGACTAACAAGCAAAGCATGACTTGTTGAGTTAATCCAAGCAACACACCCCACCTAATAGAAAGGAACCATGATTTTGGAATCACACAAATCTTAAATACAATCCTAACTCAACAACAGGCTGTCACTTGTATCACACGTCTAAAATCCAGCACTGTGCCCCAGTTATCTATTAACTGCTATTACTGTTGTGTAGATTAATCACCACACACACAACAGCGAAAGGAACAAGGAACTCTCGTGCTGCAGCTCATCTTTACCTGTTTCTTCATTACTGTATGTAGAAAGCAGCTTCCAAATCAGGTAGGGCCCTCCCATTATAACAGCAAAGAACAGGAAAATGGGCCAGGACTTTGCAGAGTTTCCCATCTTGTCTTCAAGGCCAACACGAGCCACTTTGCCCTCACTTTCAGCCCACAAATCCTCGTTCTCAGAGCTGCTCCTCAGCCCCAGCAGCCGCCGCAGCCGTTGGTACAGGTACCTTATAGTTCTGACCAGAGCAAAAGCCGAAAACACCTTGGTGAAGTGGACCTTGAGGCGGGAGAAGTGGTTGGCCACGTCCAGCACGGCCCTGAAGCTGTTGTAGACGGCCGAGAAGGTGGCATCCATCATCATGCTGACCGAGGCGAAGGCGTGCACGATGCTCTCGATGGACTGGAAGGCCCCCCTGCTGCTCTCCTCGGCCTGCTGCACGAACCTGCTGGGGGGGAGGCTGTCGGCACAGAAGCGGTTGTAGCCCAGCCCGCCGTACCCGTAGCTGTAAGGGCTGTAGCTTCCATAGAAAGAGGTTCCGTACGAGCCGTAGCCCGGAGAGAAGGAGCTGCCGTAAGCCGGCCTGAAGGTGCTCAGGCTGCTGCTTCCCGTTTGCTGCGACGGCCGCGGCAAAATGGGGGGAGGTATCCGTGCCACGGCGGGTTGGCCGGGCCTGGTCAGCATGTTGTCACCCAAGTCGGCAGACCTAAAAAAAAAACCAAATTCAAATGAGCAAGATCAGTACCCAAAGCTGAGATCTGTCATTTCCCCAGGGTCCTTGGCTAACTCCATAAATGCCACGGTGTGTTCGCTGGGGGTGGAGGGCTGGGAGCCAAACACTCAGTGCTTCGTACGACGTTGGTTGGAAGTTAAAAATCCTGTCAGGAAATACAGGTCCTTCAGGGGAACAAAACCCACAATGAGATGCTCACTGTAAACATGAGACTGGGATGTACACACTGAAAAACCCTATTTATTAATTTATACATACACGAAATTCACTTTCTACATCCACCAAAGCTGCTGCTGTAACACCCAGCTCCTTCTTCTGCACACCAAAGTCTCTCATGGGCCCCACCAAGAATATTTAGGAACTCCCCCCCCCCCCCCCCCAAAAAAAAAGCTTTATTTCCAACACCACAATAAGCCAATGATACAGCAGGAAGAAGTTCGAGAGCATCTTTGAATCCACCCTTAAAGGGTGGTACGACCTAATTGAGAATCCAAGCAATTATGCAACAACCTGTGCGAGGGCTTTGGGCCTCCCAGTTTCCCCCTTTGCCCAAAATACCTCATTACCTTTGTGCAGATTATAAAGGGATTGAATCTACTACCGATTATTGATAATGAATTTACTGCTGTTGATAGAAAAAGGTCTTATGAGTCCATCATTTATATTTAATTTAGTAAACTTTTTTTCCTTTGTATGCTCATAAGTTCAAGTTATTTCATCATAATAAGACCCTGCAAGTACTTGACTGGCATTTGAATTCACTCAAGCAGCTTTTTGCCCAACTTCTGGACAAAAAATAACCATATATTATCACCCTAAAAGTCAAACATTTTTGTTATTTCCCATGTTTACTGTCTCATCCCGTGACTTCCCACTTCTGTAGTCCATTAAATTCACAGGGAAAAAAAAAAAAAAAGGCAGAACGAAAAAAAGCCACGTTGGAATTGCTATTTACCAGTTAAAAACGGGAGCAAAACTAAGTCATTATCACAGCAAAGAGACAAACTGTAACTCAGTAAGTCACCCTACAGTCCCCAGCTCAACAGTCAGCTTGGGACACCTCACTTTAAAGGTGCCTGAAGCCATTTAAAGCGGGGTAGATAAACCCAGCGAGAAAAATTAACATTTAATTGCTCGCTCAGCAAACAGAGAGCGCAGCGAAGCGTCCGTGCAATGTTCAGCGCTGGGCCAACCTTTTGCCCAGTTTCAGCCCTAATTGCAAAAGAAAAACAAGTCGGATCTTCAGCCACCAGGCGAGCTTTCCTTGCCTGCCGATACAAAAAGGAGCTCACAGACACTTTGTGTCCATCCTGCTCCAGGAGCAGCCGGGATTTCCCAGGAGAGCTCCCTCACCCCACAGACTGTCACACGCACCGATCTTTTCCGAGACCTGGGGTGACACTCAGCTCCCGGAGCTCGCACAGCCACACAACCCCAGAGAACGGACACCCTGAGCACTCCTGCCCACACCTTCACCTTCACCTTCCCCACACGGGACCCTCCCGGAGCCCCCTCACGGAGCGGGACCCCCCGCGCCGCCCGCCCCGACCGACCCCGGCCGGGCCCGACCTTTGAGCCCGCCCCAGGGCAGCGGGCCCGGCCGCCCCGAGCGGGCGAACACCCGTCCCCACCGCGGCGGGGACCCCCGGGCAGGGACGCCCGCACTCACTGGAAGGCGGGCGCGGTGCCCGCCAGGCGCCGGGACTCCCAGGGCTTGGGCGGCGGCGTCGCCGCCATCGCGCCCGCTCGCCTCCCCTTCGGGCGCGCTCGGCTGCGCTTCGGCCGCGCTCGGCTCCGCTTCGGCTCCGCTTCGGGCTCGCTCGGCTCAGCTTCGGCCGCGCTCGGCTCCGCTTCGATCTCGGTCGGCCCCTCTCGGTAGGGCCCGCCCGCCGCCAGGCGTCAGGCGGGAGCGCCGAGCTGCTCGCCCAGCCGCCCCGCGGGCACGGCGCCCCCGCCGCGCCGGCCGAGCGATGCGTTCTGCGGCGCAGCTGAGCGAGCCTGTGCCGGGCCGCGGAGCGAGGGGTGAGCGAGGGGAGAGGGGACCGGGAATGGGAATGGGGATAAGGATGGGGATGGGGATGGGGATCGGGATGGGAATGGAAACGGGAACGGTGCCTCGGGCCTGCGAGGAGGTCGGCCATGTGTTGAGCGGGCCCCGTTTGTCCTCATCTCTCCGTCTCAGCCCGCGCGCGGCGCCTCAGTGTGTGGGGTAATGGGGTCCCCTCAGCCCTGAGGGCTCGGGGGTCCCGATGTCCCCACAATCCTGAGGGCTCAGGGGTCCCGATCTCCCCACAGTCCTGAGGGCTCGGGGGTCCCGATCTCTCCCGAATCCTGAGGGCTCGGGGGTCCCGATGTCCCCACAATCCTGAGGGCTCGGGGGTCCCGATCTCCCCCGAATCCTGAGGGCTCGGGGGTCCCGATCTCCCCACAATCCTGAGGGCTCGGGGGTCCCGATCTCCCCACAATCCTGAGGGCTCGGGGGTCCCGATCTTCCCACAATCCTGAGGGCTCGGGCTGGAATAGGGGTACTGAGCTCCCCTCTCTCAGAAATGCTCTGAGGGTGCTGAGCTCCCTCTCCCAGCCCTCAGATGTTGGGCCGTGCTGGAGGTCCCGAAACTCCCCCCCCAGATTCCATCTCCTTCCCCCTCCTCCTTGCCCCAAAACACCCCCGATATTGCCACATTTTTCCCAGTATGGCAAACAGTGCCAATATTTAACTGTCGTAAAGGTGAACTGGCAGTTTTGCCCACTGAGCACCTCACTGGGAATCTCTCGTTGTCCGTATTTTTCAAAAAACCCAGAGAGTTCTATCCCATTATTGAATTTTGGCCAAAGAATTCGGCGTGTTCTGAAGGGCACAAAGAATGGCGGGAAACCGAATTAGCCAGAATATTTTAGGGAGGGGAAAAAAAGCACTATGAGATCTCTCACAAAAACATGAGTCCTGTGTTGGGATGGGAAATGAGAAATCTTTAAAAATTGCAGGGACTAATGGATAGAAAAGACCCTTCCTCTAGGGCTTTTGTGGCAAAAGGGGCTGGCGTGTGTTGTTTGGGGCTTTCCTGTGATTTTAGCACTGATTTTTTAGTCTGTGCTAATTTTTGGGAGGAATTTCCATTTTGGGTTGGGCTTAAGATGTCTTAGATCTGCCCTCCTTCATTCAGTAGAGATTAACATGTCATGTAATGCACTTTATCCAAAATAAAACTGGGCAAAAGCTCAGCATTCCCTTATCAGAACTCCTGAGTTCAGGTTTTTCTAGGAAAACCCTTGGAAGTACAGAAGTACAGAAGCTTTCCCCCCAGTTCAGTGGTGGTTTGGGGCTGGTCTTCCACTTCTCCTGTGCCTGTGATTTAAAACAAACACATATCCTGAACTTTCTCTAGAGGACAAAAAAAACCCAAACACCCACAATTATTTTAAATGCAGCTAAATTGCCGAATTGTGTTTGTTCTAAGCTTTATCTTTTTTCCTTTTCTTTTTTCAATTTTAGGATTCCCCAGCATGTCTTCACTAACAGAGAAGGACAGACCAATTGTTCAGCTCTTACTCAGCGCTGGCACCTGCCCACGATGCGTTTTGAGGTTCTGCTGTGTGGGATCACAGACCCTTTACAGGCATCCAGACAAGGTTTGGCCTTTGTATTCCCTGCTTGGAAAGTGGGAGCACACGGATGCAGTGTCCTTTCCACTCCCCTGGAGTGCTCCAAACATTTTTACCTCATAATTGCTTCTTCCTTCAGGGACATGCAGGTTCTTCTCCCTCCTCAGCAGCACGTCCTTCTTAAGTTTGAAGTTTTGAAGTTCTTGTTCTGTGTATGTAATTTCACCTCCAACCTGTATCTGGTCTTATTTTCTTTTTATGCCATACTAAGCAGCTCTTTTCCTGGGCTAATGGAGCTGGAGAAATTAAATTATCTAAACGACCAGAAGGCACTAAATGTCTATTTTCATGGAATAGCAATGAGGCAAAAATAAACGTGTTTCTGCAAGCCAGGTCTGGAAAATGTTTTCCTTCTTGGATGGTAAATAAGTCCGTTGAGCAGCAGTTTCTCTGGAAATCTCTATTTTGAGAAAAATGCAGCTTGGAGCTGTTTAATTGTGCCTTCGAGGTGTCTTTGGGAGTAAATTCCAAGTTGTTAATTACGTAAACTCAGGCTCAGCTGGAATGCTCGGCACTGCTTTATGGAATGGTGTTTGTGGAAGAGATACAAACAACAGCATGATTCCTGTGTTTGTGTTAGGATTTGATGAAGGATTTGCAAGACTTCCTGAAGAAGACTGGAGGAGAAGAAGGCACAGCTGGTTTGGACGTGGTTGACCCCCCTTGCAAGAGGATCAGACTCGAAGGCACCGCCGAAAGTCCGGAGGATCCGAACCAGAACGGAGCCCTCGCGCAGATTCCCGCGGTGACCGGCGGGAACGCTGCGGTGGAGAGCTCTGCTGGGAGGGTTTGCAACGTGTGCTTGGGAATTCTTCAGGAGTTCTGCGAGCCTGACTTCGTTAAAAAGGTAAATCCCTGTTCTAGGTCTTTTGGGGTCCTTTTTCTGGAGCTTGTTGGGAGCCCACAGTGTAGAGCTGGTGATTAAAACCCCAGGTAATTTTGTTTTATTTTTTTCTTTTTTTTTTTTAAAAGGTGTGTTTTCTCTTTCTGTTGAAAGAAAGAAAACAGAAGACAACCCAGAAAACATTTACCTATTTGGAGTATTTGAAGTGTAGGTGGGTGGCACTATCCCACTCCACCCTGCTCCTGGGCAGTGTTTGCACACCTGTGTTGGCACCAGATTTTGCCCAGGCTTTGTCACAGTGCCACTTTTTAAAAAAAAACAGCAGTGCAGGTGCAATGGAATGACTGCAGGGAGCACACTTCTCCAAGAAAAGGATTAACTCATTCATGGTTATGTGAATTTAGGGGGTAACCTGAGGTTCCAAGGAAAACCTCAGTGTAAATAGGCAACCTCTCTTCACTTTTTTTTATGTGACAGGAAAACAAGGAGGCATCAGCTGCTGTTCTCTTAACTCCATGTTTCTAATACAGCATGAACCCTGTCTTTATGAAGGAATAATATTTAGAGAGCCACAGAGGAAGAAGATGTTCTGGTGATACAACAGATTGTGGGTGTAATAGAGAAAATGAGAGTTAGGAGAAACATCAATCTCTGAGCACTCAGACTGCTCATGTGACAAACTGAAATATCGGCCAGAAAACTCCCACTTGCATTTGAGATGCTTAACAGGGTTTTAATAGGAAAGAATGTGGTTCAATAGCATGAATGGGTCTAAAAATGGGACTGAACAGAGAGCAGAGTGTATGGTTTGTGTTGTTGCAGTGCATTATGTTTCTTTTTTGGTTTTATGTTTCTTTTTTGTTTCATTTATGTTTCTTTTTTTGGGGGCAGAATATGTATCTTTGTACAGAAACACTTGTTTCAGAGTTCCTCTCTGCAGTAGCAATGGGAGATCTGGCAGCCCTTCTTGTTAGGGCACTGCAAAACCAAAAAAAACCTTGCATATTTTATATGTAGAGATGCTGACTTCCCCTTGAAAGCCCAGAATTCCTCTCTGACATTCCCTGGAATCACTGACATTTTGGAGGACTTCTCCACGTGTGTCGGCATCTCGCCGTCAGCATTCACCGGCCCACTTTAAAGTGTGAGATGTGTGTTTGGAGTCCTGCTTTATTTCCAGTGCCAAATACAATTTTTCACAAGGAATTAATGCTGTGGATACCTGTTTGTTCCTGTCTTATCCCAGGATCTTAGGCATTTTTATTGGCCTAGGATTAATTTATCACTGCCACGAGGGAAGATGCTCAGAGTCGGCTGTTCTTGTCTTTTGGTCCCTGTGGTGTAGATTGTTGGACAAAGATTTCAATATACAATTGGTCTTGGCTTTAAAATAGTGAATTTGGTTATTTCATAGCCATAGGGATACAGCTGATTAGTAACTTTTCTTCTTAACAGAACAAAAAAGCTTATATTTCACTGAGTGATTAGTGATTACTCTGGTTTGGATGTTCAGCACCTCAGTGTGTGTTAACATGAATTAACAGGGACTGAATAAAGAATATCAACTCAGTGCCATTGCTGTGGTTTAATATTAAACTCCTCCTCTTCCAGGTGTGCCAAAAAGTGAATTCTGCTGACTACCAGTTCACTAGTTTTGTGTTTTCTGTGTCACTCCCCCCCCAGCTCTCTGTTAGGGAGGTAAGTAACTTAAATAACTTCAACACATATTAAACAAAATAACTGTGCAACTGCACAAGCTGGAGGTGGTTTGATTTTTAATTGTTGCTGTTTAAAAAAAAAAAACCAAACCCACATGCTGGAAGTGAAATCTGCTCTCCCCTTCCTTGTGGGTGAGTTTTATTTTAATTAACAAAGGGTCTGAGTCACTTTGGTTTCCAGTTAGCCCAGGAGTAACTCTGCAGCTGAAATCCTACAAGGAGTTTGTTCAAACCCTCAGTGTGTTGTTCCCTTTGGATGCCAGCCCTGCTTTGTGGATCTTCCAGAGGTGGAACTGCACAGGTGGTGCCTTTCCTGAAAGAAATGGTAATTGGTAGTGCAGGATACACATGGAGGAATTTCAGGATGAACTTGAAGTGTTCAGCATTTTAAATGATGGGAAAATACGCATTTTATTGATCACCTGGCTTGGGCATTGTTGGAAGTCTAGATTTGTAAATCTAAAGCTGTAAAACTACTGATTTTTATGGCAATTTGAATCAAACTGTTGACATTTCATTCATTTAATTACAGTGGGCAGTGATAATATGGAAGAGTGTATACCCTGGTAATTTCTTTAAATTGAGGGATAATACTAAGCATAATATAACTTAATCAATAAAGCACCAATTCTTGCTTAGTTGTGAGATGTTTTACAACGTTCCCCTGCTCTCTGCTATGAAATGATGCAAAAATAGTGTTCTAAAGGGTAACATGTAAATTTTTATGATAGATGCAAGATGTGACAGAAGCTTCAGTGGACATGGCAGAAAGAAATGTAGATGGTCTTGGATTTATACATAAACCTGTGATGGGGTGTCTTCTGATCCCACACAGTTTGATTGTTAAATAATCTACTACACTTTTAGTGGTCATTTGTGCTGTGAGTTCTGGCATGCTGGGCAAATGCCAGTGTGACAGCAATCATGTATTCTACTCCTAAGTCTTCTTGAGCATCAGATTCTCTACTTCTCATCTTCAGCCGAGCATAATTGGTGCTTTTGCTTCGGCTGCCAGCGCGTCTGGCACGTGGTGTTTGCCAGGAAGCCTCGGTAGAGGGTGGTGTTGCACCGCAGTTCAGGTGAGGGATGTTCTCCCACCCTCCTTGTGCTCAAGCAAACCTTCACTCCTAACAGAGCCCGGGACAGCCATGGGAATAAAAGTTGTGCTGTGGGGCCAGGAATGAAGAGGTGGAGTGAAATGAGTGAGTGGGAAGCTCCCAAACCACGTCTGTTCCCTTTGGAAGCGGTTTGGGTTCGGCTGGGAGATGGTTTGCGTTAGGGAGTTCCTGCTGGCCCTTCCATTCCGTCCCTTCGGTCTTGCCAAGGGCTGATCCAGCTTTTTGTGTGCTCCAGCTGCAGGGGTGGGAGTGGGTGATGGTGGAGGAAGAATTTTAAAAATCGTGGGGGTTTATTTACCACCTGTCTATCACTTAAAAATAATTGATAAAAAAAAAATTGGTACAAACAGTCCCTGTTCTACAGTTACAGAAAAGCAGCAATGTAATATGTCCAAATGCCTGAAAATATCAAAATCAAGTATCAAAATATCTCTAAGTGCTCTGTGTTGAAAAGAGGTCTTATGTTAAATCCTGCTTTTAATTCTTGGAAGTGCTCTGTGCAAGAACATGTGGAATCTTATCCTAAAAGGACACCCAAAGACAACCTCCCTCCCACGGCCCTTTGTGACACAGAGGTTTTCTCCAACACCTTCTTAACACAAAAAAAAAAAAAAAAAATCAGAAACTCCCTTTTAATATTACCTCCAGCTCATTTAGTGATAAGAGTTGTCATCCTGCCAAGTATAAAATGTACTGGAGGAGCTGAAGAAGAGCAGGGCATAAAATTTCCATTTGCCCAGTGTTTGTGTCGGGGATGCACAGAAGCCTCTTTCCACAGCAGGATGTTTGATTGGAATAAATCAGAAATGCAGGAGTCCCAGGTTTATGCCAGGCAGCTCTGTTAGAATACGAAGTGAGTGGTGCCCTTCAGAAGGGTGACTGAGCTCTGCGTGCTGCCTCAGTCCTGATCCCTCATCCCGGTGCTCGCTCCAAGGACGTGGATGCAAATAACATCTGCAGCCGTCGCTCCCTGTAGGACCGGCTGTTCCTCAGCCTGGAATTCCCCATCTCCGAGCTCTTTCCTAATAAAGTGGAACAATGCCAGGGCTGGGATTGCACGGGGGTATCTCAACTGTTGCCACCCTGATCCCTCAGCCAGCAGCACAAGGATATCCTGCAGCTTGGAATCAACACGGTGCCCGAGCTCCTGCATTTCTGGGATGCATTTGCTGCTCAGCATTGCCCTGCAGGCTCGAGCTCTGTAATGAGCATTTGGCATTTTCAAACCTCTCCACAAACATGAAGTAATTAGGAAGTAGAGGGATCTGATCCCCTGCTTCACCTGCAGCTGGGACAGAGTGGAGGGGTTTTGGAATTTGGGATCTTCTGGCCCCTGTGCTCACAGTACCCTCATCTGTTGTTTCCTCTTAATTGAAAGGGGAAACGAATTCCTTTAATTCTCTTTCAGCTTGGAAGTCAAGAGAGGGGAGGTGAAATTTGACCCGTGGTCTCATTTTTTGGCTATGTTGTAGCTGTACCCCTGGAAAACAAGGAAAAGGAGTGAGATGAGCCACCCCACTGAGTACCAAACCTGCTCTAAGTCAAGGCGTGGCAGAGCTTTTCAAACTACCCATTTCCAGGCCCTGCTCTGGGGTCCTCAAATTCTCCAGTTCTGGAGTTACCTTCAAGGAATTTGGATGGGAAGCTATTTTTGTTTGTGATTTTATCTGGGTTCTTATGCAAACAAGAGGACAATGTACTGCAAGTGAATCAGCCTTACTCACACTGTCTGCAGCTGCTGGGTGATGAATCACTGCACTGGAGCAAGCACGGTTCCCTCAGTGCAACTGCATTTGGGGGTTTGTGTACCACGGATCTAACAGAGTTCACGTCCTTTCCTCTCTTTTTAGGGTCCTCTTTTTAGGGTTCCTTCGTCATTTTAGACGTAGCAAAGGAAGGATAAGAGATTTTTGGGGTTGTTTATTTTGACTGAGCTCCTCTGTCAGCGTGTAAAAGAGATCCATGGTGTGGTTCCTTCCGTTGTTGGTGCTTCACTGTAGGAAGTTTTGAGGGGAGTTTTTCTCTTTTTATTAATTGCTTCTTATTAATTGTTGGTGAGCTGGAGTGTTTGTACTGAAAGCTCCCTCTGATTTCTGGAATTATTCCTTCGGTCCCTCAGCTTTCCCATGTTCAGCCTGGTCTCCTAAACTGAGGGGAGTGCTTTAAATAAGGGGGCAACTCTCAGGGAAAGGCTTTGTGATTCCTGTAAGACCAATTATGTCTTTTATTTCGTGGTTTTTATAATGGATGATAACTGAATTTAGGGGTTTATTAATTTATATGTCAATCACTTTTCACATACCATTCACTTAGATAATTTTTTTTTGCATTTTCTCTGCATGGTAGATAACTAATTACTCAAGCTGACACTCTTTTTCAAGATGTAATGTTTTCTAGATACAAATTTGTATACTTATATCTAGATATAAATCCATTTAGATTTCTATCTATATATAAATATATCTCTATATAAATATTTCAGTTATTACATTTTGTTTTGTATAATATTTTATTGTGCCTCTATATGGTATGATTTATTAATTATACAGATGTAAATTTTTATCTCAATATAAATATAGATATAAATAGATAAAAATCTTTTCTAGATACAACGTTTTTCTAGATATAAAGCAAATTCCAAAGTATTTAATAAAGCCTGATCTTTGGGGTTTTTAAAGCCAGGTAGGATTTGAGGTGAAGAGCAAAGTGATGTCTTACAACTAAAACAAACCCCTATTCCATCTTTCCACTTCTGAAGCAAAAGCCACATTAAATTCTCAATACTTCCCTTTTGTCCCGAGTTTTTTTAAACAGTTTTCCTCCTCAGATTGTTGGGAGTTTTGAGCCTTAATTTCACTGGCTTTTCTTTGTTTTCTCTCTTCTCCCTGGGCATGGCTGTGACTCCAGAGAGCTGCTTGGCTGGGGGTGAAGCAGGAGATGAGGTGAGTGATGAAGTTCACAATTAGGAGGTGCTGTCATTTTATTCTTTTTTTTTTAATTATTAATTCATTTTTTATCATCCTTCCTCTTGCTGGCTGGCAAGAACTCTTTCTACAGACACCATTTCTGTGTATAAATAATGAGCAGCCAAGAAGTGTTTTATTTAAGTTCCTCTTGAAATGTTCTCTGTGTTGTATCTACCTTGGACAGACCCCTGTGCAAGTTATTATTTCTTTGTGATTCAGGAATCTGGGCCTGTCCTTGGCAAAGGATGACGTTGTTCAGCTGAAGGAAGCTTATAAGTGGATTATCCACCCCCAGTTGGCAGAAGAGTTGGGTGTTCCTGCTGATGGAAAGGTCTTGTAGAAATAAAAATCACATTTTTCTCTCTCTTTTTTTTTTTTCATGTATGTGTATGTATATATATTTATACACTTATACACGTGGGGGGAATAAAAATATATCTTTTTTCCTTATTAACAGAGAATAAAGTTGCACTGCTCTTATAATCACTGTAGGGAGAAAAAGGGGGGATATTCTTTTAACCAGAGATCTCCAAGTCAGTCCTGAGGGAACACCTGCAACACCCCTGAGTAGAAATGTTTTTTCAAACTGTTTGCAACTTGCAGATTCTGACTAATAATCTGTAAAATGTTTCTGAAATACCTTGACTGAACACCAAGCTGAGATCTGCCAGACAAATTCAGAAGCACCTTCATCCTGAATGTAAAATTTCTGTAAATGGGGCTGAAATTCCTGCTGTGGGGACAAGGCAGGCTGCAGGTTTTACTTGTCACCGGCCACAGCACTGGATTCTCAATATCCTTAGCCTTTGTGTTGATTTGCCTGCTTGCATAATAATTACAGATTGCCTTTTCCCAGGAGTGCCAATTGAAAGCATCCCTTCTGTCTCAGTGAATCAAAAAATCACCCCCTTCCTCTGAAGATGATCCAAGAAGAAACAAACTTCTCACCTCCCAACTTAGGCAAAGCTCCCCAACACTTGGGCCCTGAGCCACTCCAGACATCCCCGTGCCATAAAAGTTGCTTTTCCAGGGCTCTTTATCCACGAGGCACTTGAATATTCGTGCAATCTTTTCAACAGCCCCCTTGAGGCGCTCCGGGGTCTGAATAACAGAGCTAATGAGTGTTGTTTGCCCAAGGCCAAGGAGGGAATTGGGGGTAGAGCTGAGATTACACCGGAGTTCCTGGGCCAGCTGTCAATCCACGCTGCCTTTCCCTGCCCCAAGGCCAGCCGGGCATTGCACGGGAGGCCCCTGACAAAGTTTTTACTGCGGTGACCTCAGGGTTTTTATCTTTATTCCAGGCTCTCCCAGGAGGTGTGTGGGGTTTGGTGACCATAACAGGCTTGGAGCACGGGCTGTCCCTGACTCAGCCCCGCTGTGAGGGTGTGCAGGTCACTCCTGCCTGGGAAGGGCTCTCAGGCAATCTTTGGTGACTTCACAAATGCAAATGCTCTTGTGGCAAACAGCAGTCTGGAAGTGTTTAGATGGAGAATAAATGGGTCATTATCTCTTTTGTCTCTCTCTCTTTACCGTTTTCCTTTTTTTGTGTGTGTGCGTGAGAATATCCTCCCTGTTTATTAAAAAAACCCCACAATTACCGCCTTCTCCTTCTTTATTTTCTTTTTTTTTTTTTTTTTTTTTTTAATTTAGAGTCTGTTTGAAGTCAGCGTGGTCTTTGCTCACCCAGAAACCGACGAGGAGTGCCGTTTCCTGTAAGTTTGATATAAATAACAAAAGATCTTTATCTAAACATTGTGCAACATCGTTGGTTTGGATTTGTTGCAGATGCAGGTGTTTATAAACTAGGACGGGAGCCTGCATCTAAACTTCCTCGTGCCCACAGAAAGTTGCAGAGCCTGAAGTTCCATCATCCCTGGTTGATTCAGTGCTCTGGTGCCAATAAACAAAATCACCCAGGATTTTGGTTGGAACTGGAAGGAGAACGTTCAGACAAGTTGTCCAGTTTTCAGCCCTTTCCAGTGTCATTCCCTGGATCCTTTAAAAAAAAAATAAATTCAAATTCAGTTCTCTTGTAGGAGATACAGGTGGGAGGGAAGGCTTGGAAATGTGTTCATCCAACTTAGCTGGTTGATGAAAACAAACAGAAGTTTTTGGCCTGGCCCTGCAGGGCATCTGCTGTACATCAAGAAGCAAAATATTTCTGTGAACTGAGCTGCCATTTAATCTGATTTCTCAAAATCTGTAGTATATTGTGGATAATTAGGTTCAACTCTTCCTGTTTGCTGATGCTTCCTGGAAAAGCTCAGTTTAACTCAGTTAAGTTGCCCCTGCTGCAGCTTAAACCTGAGCACACAAAGAGGTTTGGCAGAGATGCCTCTGTTGAACAGTGAATTCATTTCTTGAGACCTGAGATTCCTTTTGCAGCCTCTACATCTTCTACTGTAGGCCCAAACTACAGTTCTAAATACTGACACCTGCAACCCTGGAAATACTGAAGTGTTTCTGGATCCTGCACCCTTTTATTCTTATTTATTTAGTTTTACTCCACCAGTTCTTGTTTTCTGCAGTGCTTTTCCTTCCTCTGAAACCTCTCCACTCCTATTTCCAGCTCATCCTTCCATGGAGCAATTTATGGTACCAGTGTTAGTGGGACAGCTGGACAGGTGAAAGCTGTAAGGAAGCTCCATTCCACATTCCAGTTACTCGGGTTTCTTCCCTGTGACCCGACAATATCCCTTTATTTGCCTTCTCTTTGTAGGATACTTAAACAGCAATTAAGGTTTGAGACACTTTTCCTGAAGTAACAGCACTGTTAATTTAATTACAGAGCCATTTCTGAGGTGTCAAGGCATCCTGTAAATGTGAGAGGCTGGCTCTGGGCATGCTCTGAGGAGTAAATATGGGAAATTTGGCAATTGTCACAGGAGCAGTGACACTCATGGGTTTTGTGGAAGCAAAGCAGGATTTTGTCTCAACCTGGAGGACACTTTTGGGTGGGATTTCCAACTATGGCACCTGCAGTTTCTCGTGTCTCAGGCTGTTCCTACACAGCTGTGTGTAGGGTAGGTGGGCTGGAATGACCCTTGGTTGCTCATGGAACATTGAACTCGCTCTTGTTAGTTCCCATTTGGAGATCCTGGAATTTTGGAAGAGGGCATTTGTGTTGCAGACTGGCCTGGGAAGCCACTTGTATAGAAACAGCAAGAGCTGCTTCCTCAGAGTGTCCAAAATACTTACAGAGGAAAGAAAGAAATGATAAATTGGGTTGTAGGTTAGAAAACATCTCTGGCTGCATACATAGAAATCCAGAAATCCTCCTGCCTGCATACACAGAAATCCTTTAATAGGAACAGCAACTTCCTCTGCAGTACCAAGAAAAGTGTTTCACTGACCTGGCTTTCACTTTCGTGAAACAGCCAAGAGTTTCCTTTTGAAGGGGCCAAACACAGATGGTGTTGAACACCTGGGGTTACTTTTTTAGTACAGCACAGTCAATTTGGTGCAGGACAGTGAATTTGGTACAGGGCAGTGAATTTTCCCATCCAGAAGGGGCAATTTGAATCTGTGGTTTGTGTGTGGAAGAGCAGCAAGAACAGATTTCAAGATCTCAGCAAATCTTGCACAGAACTAAAAGATTAATCGTGGCCTTCATCGAGAAAGATTGGAAAAGACCGAAAGCTAAACTTTGTGTGTGCTTTTCCACATGTTTGTGTTGGTCAGAGCAGAGGAGACTTGCACCCTCTTGTCCAGGAATTCTCTCTGGATCAAGCAATGCACATCTTGCTCCGTTTGTGGGTTAGGATTAAGGGGATTTTAAACTCTTGGAAGTGAGACTCTGGATATTGGTACAAACCTCATTTCCATGCTGTGTTTGTGAGCCTGGCTGTTTATTTCTTTGTCTTAAAGAGCAGCAGCTAATTTTCATTTCTGTATTTAGAGCCACAGCCTGTCCAGACTGTTTCAAACCAGCAAAGAACAAGCAGGTAAGATCTCACCTTCTCCGTAGTTCTTGTCTGACATCCAGAATTTCACAGCAGTGGCTACAGCGAAGAACTTCCCTGGGTATTCAGTCAGTGTTTAATGTCTGGTTTCCCCTTCATCAGAAATCTTTCTGGTTTTCAAACTGTCTGAAAATAAGGTTGTTTCCTTTATTCACATTTCTCACCTTAGGAAAACTGAGAGCTTGGAGCTTTTCTTCAGGTCGTGCATCTTCCAGGCTGTAATTTTAGGAATGGTCTCTGTAAATACCTCCCTTTAAGAGCTAGGAATTTGATTGTCACGCATTAAAAGTAGCATAAAAGATGATCCTCCAGCTCTCTGTGGGTGAAACAGTTCAGATAAGGCACATGGTGAAGATGAGACTCTGCAGCCAAAAGGGAAATACATGAACACGCTGCAGTTTCCACCTCCTCTGATGTGACTGAAAGCCATGAAATGGGCAGGATGGTTTTATCCTTCTGCCTCTGGAAGAGGGGGAGGGAAGAAAAGGGACCTTGCCACTTGTTGGCACACACACAATCACTTATGGAAAAGAGAACGTGAGGGATAAAGCAGCAGTTGGAGAGAAGCCGATGTAAGTAGGACAGTTGATGTGATCAGAGGGAGAACAAGTGACTTCCATCAGAAGCCACTGCAAGGCCTTTTATTCTTCCTGCAGAAGAGTCTACCAACGTTTGGCAGAGGCAGGAACTGAGGCAGGAATTCTGCTGACTCTACTCCACCTGAGCAATAAATGCACGTTCTTTTTTTGGAAGGGTTGTATTGTTATAACTCACCACTCGCTGCAATCCTTCCCTTGGAAAAGGGGGAAATCCCCCAGCAGGGGCCAAACCAGCAGGGCCTGCCCGTTAAAACCACCCAGGCAACAGAATGGAGGGGAATATAAAGCAAAACTGAAGAGCCATCAGAGGTTTGTCCTCACAAAGAAGCTGTGCTTGAAGCTTCGAGGGCTTTGTTAGCCAGAGGAGTGGGGTAAGAAGTGGGTTCTGAGGGAATGTTTCTGTGCCATCTGCTCTAGATGGTTATTTAAACCTGCTGCTGCTTTAAGGGTTCCCCAGTTCATCTGTTCCATGAGGAAGAGAAGTGCTATTATCTCTAATTTATGCTTGGAAGGACAAAGAGCAGCGTTCCTGAAGGCACCCAGGAACTCGGTGTTAGAGCAGGGACTTGACTTGTGCCAGACAACGCCCCAGTATTTTTGATTTCTTTCCCCAAATCCCCAGTCTGGTTTGCAGAAAAGACACCATTAAATTGGAAATGCAGCAGCCAGGGGATTGGGAGGAGAGGCTGAGGAACCTGGACTTCTTCATGTGGAAGGTTCTTCTCTTGGTGAGGAGAAAGCTTTTGGGAGGACCCAAATCAACTTTGGAGCTTCAGCACCAGACACTTCCTCACCAGGCTTATTTCCAGAACTGGCTGCCTGCTGTCACTGAGATAAAAGCTGGGGATTAACTCTTGAAAAAGAAGGTGACTGAGGTTTCTGGTCATGGATTTAGGATTCTGTTTTTAAACCAGTTTGCAAATTTGGATCTGGGCTCCCAAGTGAAAAAACCTGACACTGTGTATATGTTAGTGCTTTTTCCCCTCCCTTTAGGCATATCCTTTCTTTGCTTTTCTTAGTTCTTGACTCATTTTTTTATTTCACTGTGCAGTCTGTTTTCACCAGAATGGCAGTTATGAAAGCCCTAGAGAAGATAAAAGAAGAGGATTTTCTCAAGTAAGTCTGTACTGAAACCAGTTCTTAGTACTGTGCTTCTGTATAGAATTAGGATGGGGAGGAAAATGCTCAGTGGGTAAGCAGTGGTAGGGTGTCTATAAAAGAACTTTTGGTTGTTTGCATTCTGATGGTTCACTGGGTAAAATGTGTCTTGTGTTCTTCTGGTGATAGAAAAATCATTCCTGATCTTTTAACTCAGGATTGTTTTGAACCTTAGAGTTTGGAAGGTAAGCAAGGAACAGTGAGAAGCCATCATGTTTTTGGTATTACTGCTAATTCTTTTTACTCTTTTTTTTCTTTTTTTTTTAAATCCAGGCATTTTCCATGTCCCCCAAGTTCACCAAAGAACCTGTGTGATGCTCTGGACATTCAGTGCAACAATGGGGCAGTTTTTGTGGCTGGTAAGGGGATGGATTGATTCGCTGCCGTGTCATCCCAAGCAGAACTTTCGAGCACTGCCACGAGAGCCAGAGATTCTTCTGTTTGTTAATTCCTGTAATTAAGTGTAAGGAGCAAAGAAACCAACCCAGCTCTATCCAAGAGTGGGTGGGTTTGGCAGGGGAAGGAAATGACAGATCCCCCCCTTTATCACCTGCCTGCAGGAGCACCTGCCCTTCTCCTGGGCCTGTGTATAAACAACTTCTTTAAAGCACATGCAAGCAGATTAAAAAAAAAAAAACCCCGACCTGTAATTTAAATCCAACCTACTCTGTTTAAAAGGATGATAAATATCCTGAATGCAGGAAAATGGCAAATGAAAAAAATGCACAAGCGAGTGGCAGGGTGGTTGATGTTCTACACATACCCCTTTTTTACTTTTAATTAGCGATTAAACAGATGTACCTTTTTGGGAATTCAAGATATCCAGTTCCTTTTTGCCTTTCCCAAACACACTGTTTTGTTTTAGGTTGCTTTGTTGGATGGTTTTATCAGAGTCCATCTGTACGAGGAGCAAGAGGGTTTGCTTTTTGTCTGCACATCATTTAATACTGGCTTTGTGATTTACAGTTTATAGCTTGCTCCAACAACAAAAAAAACCCAGGAAGGATTTTATTTTTTTTTTTTAAATTTTCAAAGAAATAAATCCAAAGTGGGATTTATTGAGCACAGAGCAGTTATTTCGTTATTAAATGAGGCAGGATCTTAATTAGTAAGCACAGTTTCAGAGTTAGCATTGCCCTCTTGACCTTCCCTTCGGTGTTTAGTGATCACTTCCCACCCCAACTTGGTTTTTGGTTTTTTTTTTTTAAGGATTCAGGAGCTGTCAAACCAAGAAACACCTTCTGTGTTTTTTTTTAAACCTCCTCTTGTTCAGATCAAGAGTTAAACTTCTTATCTCATTCTCCTTTTTTCCATTTTCTGGAAGGAGAATTGAGCAGTGAGAAGCTGCCTGTGCTGGGTGAGTCACCTCCTTTCGTTCCTTGCCCCAGTGAAACCGTTACTCAGTTTCCCCATTTGTTGGTGTGGCTTTTTCTGCTGGGCAAAAATGCAAGAAGGAAACATTGTTCAAGAGAGGAAAATATGATACAATTCCCCTCTCCCTCCCCCCCAAAAAAAATCTTGAGGTGTCAGAGGCACAGTGTGAAGCCCAGAGCTGCTCTGAGCTCTTTGTCAGGGTGTCACGTGAACGATGTCCTTGCTTTCGGGAATATTTTCACTTCCTACCAAACCTGTCCATAAAAAAAAAAAGCTCCTGTTGGCCATCCAGGCTTGTTCTTCGGTTGTAGCAGCCCTTGTGTCGTGGAGGTGCCATGAGATCAGTCCAAGGACGCCAATCTCTTTACCTTCCTGACATTTCTCACAGTTTATCCTGGAGATTTTCTGCTCCTCACGTGGTTTTCCTTGGGGATTTTCTGCTCCTCACATGGTTTTCCTTGGGAGCCAAAGCACTTTAGTTTGGATTTCTCTCCTTAAGCTTTCAGACAGTGGCAGGACTTGGCTTGGAACCTGAACTGCTCCACACAGGAAGGTTATCCCTGGAGGTGGGACTGCAGCAACGGGCTCTCCGAGCCCACCTCTTAAGTGGCCATCCTGGATACTGGAATTCTCCTGGATGCATCCAGCAGCATTCCGTAGAGCTGCTGGAATGCTCTTCCACAAAACAAGTTTGAGCCCGTGAAGTCATTTCCACAAAGCTCCACTGAGAGTTGAAGGTGTTAAAAGCTTTTGTCCATTGGTTTAGAGAGATTACAGCTAACATAGCTCTTTTTTTTTTTTTTTTTTACAGGAAGGTACAACAAATATTCCAGGAATTTACCTCAGACCCCCTGGATTATTGATGGGGAGAGGAAGCTGGAATCCTCAGTGGAAGAACTGATTTCGGAGCATCTCATGGCTGAATTCAAAGCAGACAGTGAGTATTTAGGAGATCTCTTACCAGACCTATTTGTCATCACTACTAGAACATTTTTTAGAGGATTTTTCTTAGTACCTACCCACTTAATCCAAGAGTGTGAGGGAAAAAAAGCTGTTATTTCTTTATTCCTCTCTTATCCTTCCGAGTCAAAGCTTGTAAACTCTTTTTTAGCTGTGATCTGTGAGTAATTAGCCCCTTTTATCCTGCTAAAGTAGCTGTGCAGTTCATCTGATGATGCAAATGTGTTGGTTTCATGCACAGTAGGATTTTTTGCCCAACCAACCTTCTGATGGGTCGGTGATTCATAAAATGACTTGTAGCAAGGAGGTTTTTTTTTGGCCACCAGCATTTTGTAACATCTGCCCGGCTTTCAACCCCTTCGTGTCTCTTCCCTTGATTCATTTCTTCAGTGCTTATCCAGGGATTATCCAGATGAAACAAGCACTGCCTGTTGCTTGTGGAATTAAAAACACAGAAAGCCCAAGGAAAAATGGCATTAAATATTAGTTTGGGGAACACCCTGCTGCTTCCCTCTCCTCCCAGTGGATGTGTTACTCTGGTTGGAATATCTCACTCAGGCCAAGGGACTGGGAGTGCTCATCAAGAAACTTGTGAATATCCCAGGTTTGTTCCTGGAGTGTTTGTGCCAACAGGTTTAGGAAAGACATTCTTTTCACCTTTTAAAGCTGCAGAGGGTATTAACAATGTTTTAAATCTGTTACAGGCTTTAATTTTTCTTCCTCTGGAAGAGAAGATGTGGATGTGAGGACGCTAGGAAATGGTAAGGCTTGGAAGATCCCTTGTGAAACACAGAAATTAAGTGGTTGTGGAAGCTGCTCTAATAGATCTTGCTGAATGCTAAGGCAGGCTCTGAAATTTTATCTCAGAAACATTTTAGTGATATTTATATATTTATTCCCTAAGATCAAACACCTTCTCAGTGGCCTTGGCTGCATGGAAAGGGAGAGCTGGTCAGGAGTATTTGATTTTATTCTCTCCCTACTTTTAAGCCATTTGTGTCAGACTCATTCCTGTCTTGTTTGCTGTTGGATCCTTTTTATTCCCTCGCTGTCCCTGTGGGGAGTGGGGGAGCCTGATTTTCTTTTTCAACTCGGGTCCTTTGGAAAGGTCAGCTGCTTTCCAGCACTCTGGAGCTGCTGCAGCCAAAGGAGGAGGGCAAGAAAAAGTACAAATGAGCAATTCCACGTTTCAGTTGCTATCTGATTGCTGTGGCTCTTGGCATTGCTTATGCTGGGGATTGTCCCTGGCCCTGAGCACTGAGAGAACAACTCCGGCAACAGATGTTGAGCTGAGGGAGCAGGGATTTAACATCCTCTTGCACCTGGGCATTGCTGTAGGTGACAGAAAATAAGCTAATTAACTTTTTTTCTTATTTTATTTTTTAATTAGCACAGACTTGTACAAGATGTCTTCTGGGAAGTCCTAATTTGCACTCACTGCCGATACTGGGCTTTAGTGGCCAAAAAAAAAAATAGTCCCTCGTTTCTTCTCCTTCCATCTGATGCCACATCCCTAAACCCACAAGTCCTGTCCCTGTTTGTCTAACAGCAGCCAGGCTTCACACCTCCCAGCCTTCCTGTGTAAATTCCTGTGTTCATTTACAACAGTCGTGTTTTTATGTTTTGTGGCTGTGCCCGATGCCAGGAAGGCCCTTTGCAATCGAGCTGGTGAATCCTCGTCGGATCCGCTTCACCGCCGAGGAAATGAAGAGGCTTCAGCAGGTAAATCATTTGCACCTCACGGAGCTCGGGAAGCACTTGCTGCCTCTCCAACCCAGCAGTCCTGACTGGTTCCTTTTAAAATATCACAGGCAATTAATAACTCTTCAGACAAAATCCAGGTTCGAGATTTACAGCTTGTCACCAGGTCAGTATTTCCCGGCGCTGCCAAGGGATTTCAAAGCGACACTTTGGGACTTGGGCAAGTGTTTCTTGCTCACAGCCTGGGATAATTATGCTTATGTTAAGTGAGTAATTAATTTCCCTTGTTTAGAGAGGCAATTGGTCGTATGAAGGAAGGTGAAGAGGAGAAGACAAAGACCTACAGTGCCTTAATATGGACAGACAGAGCAATCCAGAGGGAAGATATCGCGCTCCTGGACGATATCAAGGTATCAGGAGCTCTTGTCGCTGATTTAAATAGGACCTGTCCTGGTGCCCTAGGGAATAATTAAATATTCCTAAATACTATAATATCTCTTCCTCTGTGTTTTTTTTTCCTTTTGTCAGAGTTTCTCTTGCAGGGACTTCCATACCCCCCTTCCTTCCCTCACCACAGTCATCCAAGCAGGACAGCTGGCTGGCTGTTGGCCAGGCCAATAAATCCTTGTGTGATGTTCACCTTCCAGGAGACCAAATAATCAAAATTAGTGGATGGGAGAGGAGGAAACCTGGCACCTGCACCCCTTCCTTTACCTTGCACAGTGTTTTGTGCAAGCAGAAGTGGCAGAGCTTTTGTTCTGCTCTACAGCCGCTCTCAACAATTCCAAGTTGGAAGTGCCTGTGACAAAGAGTGCTAAGAGGCCTTAGGAAGGCTCAGCACACTGTGGAATGAGAGCTTTCTCCAGCTGTTGGGCTGATGGAGAACTGGATTCTTTTTTTGTTGTGCTGCACTGTTTCCTACAGGTCTTCCCCAGGAACTCAAAGCAAGTGCTCACAGCTCAGGGAGACAACTGTTGGCTTTTCCCGGAGCTTTCTCTCAATCCTGAAAAGTTGCCTTTCAAACTGCTGCATCTCCTCTGAGAAAGGGAGTGGGGAATGAACTTTTGAAAAGATTGTTCTGAAATCTAATCTCATTTCAGGGGTTTTTTTTCCCCTCACTTTTGTTTCTAGGGGGTTGGCTGTAGTTTAGACAAAGCATTTTGGGGGTGGGATTTTTTTTTTTTTCTGATTTGCCCTGAGGCTCTCAGTGAGCTGCTAAATCCTGGAGTCATTCCAGCAAAGGGCTATGGAGATTTCAAGGTTATTCCTCTGTATTTGTGATTCCATTAGTTGGTGTTCACACGAGGCCTCGGAGATGGCTGTCCTTTCTCCTTTGATAAACTTGGAAACAATGAGTCTTGTCTCAAGATTACTCAAGATAAAAAGATGTGACTGGTTCACAACACTTGTGACTCCTACAATCTGTTCAGTGTGTTACGTTTCCTTCCTGTCTATTTCACTCTCTCTCGTGACAGGAGTTAAAACTGGACCAGAAGACGCCGCTCCGTGTTCTCCACCGGCGGCCTCTGGCCGTGCGCTGCCGGGTCATCCACACCATGAGCTCCGAGTACATCGACGAGCACCATTTCCGCCTGCACCTCAAGACTCAGGCAGGGACGTATCCTTGGCTGCCCTGGCACCAAACAGCTCCTGACTGGAGTCACTGAGATCATGGGAAGTCTCCTACTCTAATCCCTGTGGTGTTTTGAAATCCCTGCTCTCCAGCAGTCGTGTGTTGCTGTGGGATCTTTGCATTTATTATGTCACAATTCCACACCGAGGTTTCCATTCAAAAATAGAGCCTCTGTTTCATTCCAAAATGGTGCCTGTTCCCCTTCCAAAATGGTGCCTCTCTTTTCATCCCAAAATGGCGCCTCCGTTCCCATCCTAAAATGGCACCTCCGTTCCCATTCCAAAATGGCGCCTCCGTTCCCATTCCAAAATGGCGCCTCCGTTCCCATTCCAAAATGGCGCCTCCGTTCCCATCCCAAAATGGCGCCTCCGTTCCCATTCCAAAATGGCGCCTCCGTTCCCATCCCAAAATGGCGCCTCCGTTCCCATCCCAAAATGGCGCCTCCGTTCCCCTCCCAAAATGGCGCTTCCCTTCCCATCCCAAACTGGTACCTATGTGTGTGGAGTTTTGTACTGGCCGCTCCCAGGATCACGGAGTATTCCAGGTTGGAATCAAGGACCATCGAGTCCATTACCCTGACAGTTTGAGTGAATGTGGCAGCTATAAAATTGTCCTGGTTAAAAATACACTTTCTTAATTTAACTGATAACTCATCACCTTAAAAAAAAAATCAGCTTTTCTGCACTATTTAATGCTCTTCAATGCAGACTGGGGGTTGCTGCTACACAAATCAAGGGTTTTGCCGTAAAGTCACCCCTCACTTTGGAATAAAACAGAAGATAAAGGTCAGTGACACAGTTTTTGGCACTTGAGGCAGAAGCCAGGAATTAGGAGCTCTTTTAAAGATGAGTATGGGCTTAACAGGATGTTAACTAAAAATTGGCTTAAGAGTTAAAAACAAAACACCTTTTTTTCCCCACCCCTTTTGCTTTCTTTGCTGTAAAATCCTCCCCTCCTTAGCCAGTGTTTCCAGCTACATTAAAGAATTTGTGCACGGGGACTTTGGAAGGACAAAGCCCAATATTGGGTCCCTCCTGAACAGAACTGCTGACATTCTGGAGCTGGATGTGGAGGTAAGTTGTTTGCTATTTACCCTTCCTGGAAAGGACTGAGGTGGTGGCATTTGTGAGATGCTTTCCGTGGAATTGCCCCAAGTGGAGCACAGTTAATAGAAAAATGAATATAATGCAGGAATGGTGGTTTGTCCCACACTGCCACACGTGCCAGGCTTCCCCTTCCAAACTGATGGCAGGGAGGGGCGGGGGGACACATCACAAATTTATAACGCTACTTATCAGCTTATCTATAACCATCCTTGCCCAGAGTCAGGGACAGGTGATGGGTTTCTACTCGAGCCTTGCCTGCACCACCCCATACCTGAGTATTTGTGCACCATCAATCAACGCGCGGTTTGTGTTCGCACCGTGCCGGCCCCGCCGCGGGACGGGGAGAGGCTGGAGCCATTTCACACTCCTAACAAACAGTTCTGGCAACGCGGCCCAACGTCCAGGGATGCTGCAAAAGGAGTTGTGACTCTTTGGGTGTGTGTAAAATATCACCTCTGGTGATCCTGCCTCTCTTTTCCCTCCCCTTTCCTAGTCTGTTGACGTCGACTGGCCCCCCACTCTGGATAACTGAGTTCCCAAGCTGGGATGAGGAAGCAGCAGCTCGTGACCAAACACTGTGCAGTGTTGCAGCCCGGGTGCAAAGGGTTTCCATGGAACACTTGGATCATGTTGATCTGCCAAAGGATACCCTGACTTTCAGTCTACTTTAAACACTCTGGACCAGGTAGTGTTGGTTCAGTCTCTGGCCTTACTTTAATTTCTTCTGTGCATAAAAGGATTTTGGGAAGCCAGGGTGTTCCTGATAAATTATAGTTTGAGGTAACCCTCCCTCAAGCCAGATTTCTTTTTAAACTCTTTTTATATTGGATGCTACAGCTTTCCTTGTCTGGGGGCAGGCAGCACTGAGTTACCTGAAATCCCAACTCTTTCTGAGCACTCTTCCTGCAGGAAATCCCAAAAGCCAGGGGATAGTGTTGGAGCAAGTCTCCCTGCTGGCTGCTTTTTGGTCAGGGTTAGTTTTAGGGATGGGCAAATTTGTCTCACAAAGAGCAAAACCGTTTTTCAGAGGAAACCTTTGCACTTGAAACCAAGTTTTTCTCACTTAAAAACATCGGCGACGCTTCCTAGAAACAACAGTTGGGGCCTCCTGAGCTCTCCAGCCTGGCCACAGTCCTCTCCAGGAGCAGGAATTCCCCAGTGAGTCACCACATATAAAAAGATTGGGAACTCCTGGCAGTGGTGCACGACGGGGATCTGAAGAAAAACAGGAATACCAAGAATCAAAAAAGTGCAGGCAGACACAAAACCTACCTGGGGATGTCGGAATCCAGAGACGGGGATAAAAAAAGCTTTGATTTAGCAGCATAATACAATTTTTCTACCACCTCACCTTGGATGGATGCCTGGAAGACTTAAATTTGCCTGGGACAGGGAAGATCTAAGGTTTTTAATTTGCTTCTTTTAAATGTTTCCTACTAAGCACCGCCTACATCTTTAGGAAGAGTCACTTCTATACCTGCATCATGTTAATCCATTAGGGGAGATGCTTCCCTGAGGTGCAGAAGAGAGTTAAACCATCAGCAGGAAATTAAGGTTTGAAATTTAAGGGCTCTTCGTTAATTAACATTTTGGAAATAAAAGAGCATAATATTTGCCAAGACCAACCACTGTTTGGGGACGGGGAGGATGACTGGGATGCCTTCCCTTAGTTCAGTGGTGCCAGGACCTCAGCCCAGAACAGCTGCATCAGAACATGAGCCAGAGGCTCTAAAACTATTAATAAATCCATTTTTAAGGAGCTCCTAAAAAAAAAAAAAAATCATCTTGAAAAATGATGCACTGCCTGTGCTGGGCTGTCAAACCTTGTCTCTGTTGCTGTGCTTTCCTAGCCCTCTGCAATGCAAGTAATTCAAAAGCTCCTGGTTTTTTCTAACACAAAAATAATAGGGACATGATTCAGACAGCAATATTGGTTTTGGTTTTAATCTTAGAGCCAATATGAGCAACAGATTCCAGGAGCAGTTCTCAGATAATAATCTGTAGCCAGACAGGAAGTGTCATGAAGGATGGAAAACTAAAGAAACTGAATTCAGAAAACAAACCAAAAGAGAATTTCAGTCTCACAACTGTGATTTCTTGAAACTCAGAGTGAGCTAAAATATGATTTATAAATTCCATAAGCTACAGGGAACAAAAAAACGTAAACAAGACTGTGCATTTTGGCACAACAGGCCTGAGAAGAGCTGTTCCAAGGGAGGAAATGGAGCCAAAGGGGGGAAGGAGAAAGGGCTGCTCCTGCTGTAGGTCAAGGACACCCAAGGCACTTCCCTCTGCAGCTCCTGCTGCACGTGGGGGTCACGTCCCGAATCCCAGTGCAGATGAACCAGGCTGTAAACACTGCCCTCAGCGTGCTGAGGACACAGAGAGGCCCTCCAAAAATTCCCAATCCTGATAAATGTGAAGCATCCAAATGACAGTGCAAACCTCTGCAGCTCTTTGGGGTCAGGGATCCCTGTGCAGGGACCACGTGCAAACAGGAGACCCCCAGATGAGACCTGGGGGTTTGGACTCTGCTCCAAGGCCAGCTGGTGATGACCCTTGGAACTGTCACAGGGGGATATTGCAGCAATAATGCATCCAGGGGGGGCTTTGGCCTTCCCCTTATTTTTACCAGTGAAACACCACCTTGAGAGCGCTCAGACTGATGCTCTGCGAGGGCAAGATTTAATCCTGCATTTCTCCAAGGGGCCACCTCTAATCCCCCTTCCACTTGGGTTTTGCCCGGAGAAAGCTGAACCAGCAGCACAGATGTGCCCAAAGCATCTGTCCCCTCATCCCCTCTGCCCAAAAACTCAACGGCTCTGCCACAAAACCTTCCCATTGCTTGAGGTTCTGCAGTGGCCACCAGTAACTGGGAGCAGAAATACCCCAAAAAAAGCCCCAGAACAAGCAAATGATAACCTACCTTGTCCCTTTTCCCTGCCTTGCCCGTGGTGAGGGATGTCACAAAGCTGAGGAGGTTGCAGAAGCTGAGCACTTGGTATAACCAGTTTTTTTTAATTACCAAACCAACTCGTTTACAAAGGAAAACAGAACTTTGAAAATATTTAATTATACAGTAAAAACAAATTGTACTATAAAGAGCTTTCTATGAAGTGAGTAAAATGTTTACATTTAATATACTTAAAACTGAGAACTTCAAAAAAAAAAAAGAACTGAATAAACAACACATTTCAAACTTTCTGTGTATTTCTTTGGTCTTTCTATTGCTCAAGACTGCAGAGGAGCTGTGAGGAAAAACTGCTTTAAAACAGGGAGAGTCAATTCATGGCTTTGTGCACCTGGAGTTTGGGGAGGCAGTTTCCCAAACTTCACCCATCCTCCAGTGTGACTGTCACCTGTGGAGTGGGGGTGATGGAGAGCTCCCAACACAAGGGAATGCAGGGAGGGAATCCTATAAACCACGGAGGGGTTCTGGAGCTCCTTCCTCGTATCCAACTCTATGTCTCTAAGTGGCTTTTTAGATTTTGGGGGTGTTCTTTTATATCCAAGTGTTCTTTTTTTTTTATTGCTGCTTTCATGGTCTGGTTTTACGTCACCGAACGGTAACAGTTCAGACCCTCAAGCTTTATCTGCCCTACAGAACAGATGTATCACCTAAGAAATACTCAGACATTTCCTGCTGTGTTGCTTCTTTCAAAAAAGAACAGTATAATAAAGTAGCCAAGGCCCAGAGTGTCTTACCCAGCCAGTCCTGGAACAGCTCTGGCTCAGGCTGAGAGGGGACACTGGGAATCAAGTGCAAAGGAGGAAGTTCTGGTTCCTGATCCAGAGGACAGAGGAGTGTTTTTTAATTGGTGCTGACTGAAATGGCTTTAAAAAGTCGTTAATAAGAGAGGAGGCTGCCCAAGGGCTGCCCCTGGCTTTGCCCTCCTGGGAGGGGGTGGTGCTGGGGAGGCAGGATCTGAGCCTTCCTTTGAGCAGTCACTTGCATAGCAGGAAACTGCTTGGGATACCTGAGGAAAAAAAAGCAAGTAGATACTTCGGCTCCAGAGATTCCTGCCGTTCAAAACGCCACACGCATCACAGCTACACTCACACGCAGCAACTGCAGAGCAATGACAGCTTCGTCCCTAAAGCAACAGGGCTTGGCTTGGAAAACTGCACTCTGGGTGAAGTGCAGACTTTCTGTTCCTTCTCCTGTGCAGTGATTTCCTTTACAACAGAGCTGGACTATTTAAAAATTCAAACCTTCCGGTCTTTTTAAATACATCTAACAATGACATAGTCATTAAAAAAAAAATTTCACCAGTAAATTTGCCTTCAAAGCAAATGGAGTGTGGAAAATCAATACATGTACTCGTTTTAGAAGAGCAGTATTTATAGAAAGGGGGTAAGAAACCTAAACCTTTCAAGTAGGCTGAGCTGAACTTTAATATCTGTTGATGAGACTGAACTAGAGTGCTCATGTGCAGGTTTGTTTTCCTAATTTCTGTCCTATCAAAAATTGAATTTCTGTAGCAAAAAAGGCTGCTTTGAAAGAACTTTAACCCTGTGAAGTATTTGAAATTTTAAGCCTTCTGAAGACACCAGCTTTTACAGTCCCCAAAGGCAAGGAAGCTTTAAGTGTTACCAGTTCCCTTTCCCAACAAAAGCGCCAAAATACATCTACAAGGTACTTTTAAGGTACAGAACCCCAAACCCTGCCCCCACCTCCCCCTTCCTGACGGGCACCACTACGGGCTTAAATAACTTAACTCTTATGGTAACTTAAATAACCTTAAGTTCCATCGCGAAAACTCGCACAGCAACATTCTGAGAGAGAAAGCGGGGACTCCAGAAGGGTGGATGACTCCTCTCCGCGCGGCGGCACCTTTGGGAAGCGGCCCCTGGGAAGCTTCCCCCGCCTCAGGGGTTGTAGTTTTGTAGGATGTTATCGAAGGGGAAGGACTGGTAGAGCTCGTCGGCGTGGACGCCGTCGCCGTCGTAGTACTGGGGGTCCACCAGGCCGCTCTGGTGGGCGGTGGAGAGTCTCGGCTCGCCCAGAACCTCCTGCTCTAGGAAGCCGTAAACGGGGTCGGCCAAGCTGGGCTGGGAAGCGAATCCCGCGGCGCCGCTTCCCGGGGCCGGCCCGGGCGGGCCCAGCGGCAGCTGCTGCCTGGAAGCGCCCGAGTTGAGCACCATGTTGAACTTGTCGAAGTTGATGCTGGTGCAGTTCATGTCGTCGGTGTCCATGCTGACGATGCCGGAGGCGGCGCTGTTGGGATGAGCCGCGGGCACGGCGCTGCCGCCTGCAATGGTGGGCAGGTCCGCGCCCGTCGGCGCTGCCAGCCCGTTGGTGCTGCTGTAATTCCGGTAGAAGGCCGAATCCTTCTCGTCGGGCCAGTTCAGAGGGTCGTGGAAGGCCGGGAGGGAGCTGCTGCCGTGAGGTGGCTGAGGGGCGTCCGCAGAGAAGCTGTTGGGTGCGTGTGTGCCCAGCAGGCCGCTGACCGGGGAGGGGGAGTTGTGCAGCCAGCACGGGGACAGCCCGTCCTGCTTCCCGGGGCCCACCTGGGCCAGCTGGCTGCAGCCGGGGAACATCTGACCAGGGCTGGCCAGGGATCCCAACCCGGGCATCAGCAGCGAGGATGAGAACAGGTTTGGTTCTACAGAGAGAAGGCCGGGGTTTAGTTTTTTTTTTTTTTAAATTACAAGTGGTGAAAAGCAAAGAAAACACACTGCAAGAAAACACTCTGTAAGGCTCTATGTGCATTTCCACTCTCACACTTGCTTAACTGCTCTCCAGGGTAGCCCCCAGATTTCTGGACAGCAGCAGAGAGCTGTCCACCTCACCCCTCTACAGCCCACACTGAGGGTGATGGCTACACCTACATAAAGAACTGATGGGGTTATGTTTGTATGGGCAAAAGTATCGGCATCTCACAGGAATAAACCCTCCAGAGATTAGAATTTCAAGCAAAAAAAAAGAGGAGGGCGCCGTTTGTTTCAAACCACTGTCAGATTGTAAGCAAAAACCTACCTTTTTTAATCATCTTCCCTTCAGGAGTGACAACAGGGAATGGAGTTACTTTGGGCCTCTCTGTTGCGTTTGATCCTGCGATGGAAGAAAGCGTGAGTCCACTCCAAATGTTTGCTCTCATACAAAACAGCTCCATCTAAACGTAAGTTCACTCAACAAAAAAAAAGGCAAATATTTTCCTTACCACAGTCCTGGATGAGCTTTTGCCAAGCCAACGTTGATCTTTGCCTTTTTGCCTTGTTGCCATATGGATCTACAGAGAAAGGAGTGGAAGGGGGAAGTGTTACCTTTCCCTTGGATACAGCGTGTAAAGGAACCTCCTAGAGGCACCAGGCTGCAGTGAGACACATTTAAAGAAAAATATTTCAAGCATGGCAGCACTAACAAACCATGACAGTGTTATCAACAGTGATTCTTGGTGTTTTTACTGAAAGAGGAACAAACTGACTGTTGCTACTTTTTAAAATCCAAAACGTTGCTTTGTGTAAGTTGTAGAATTTTAACTAATTAAGCAACTACCCCGAGTTCTGCATTGATAATGGTTTTTAGAAACACAGCTAATTGGGACCATACCCTTCTCATCTGGTAGGTATCTGAAATCCATAGGCTCACTGACTTCCTGGTCGGAAGGTCTCCGGAGCTGCATCTTCACCGTGACGGGCTCGGTGATGTCCTTGAGGAACGGGGGCGTCCGGAACACGATCGCGACCTGGCGGTGAACGTCGGCTTGGGAGAAGGAACCCTTGGCCTCCCAGTTGTCCAGGACAAATCTGACTTCTATGTCATCTGGTCCGTTAGAAACAGAAGATGCTTGTCAAGCTGGGAAACTGAAAACTCCCAGCAGAAAAGGGGGAGCAAAGAAAGGAGCCCCACTCGAGGTTCGGGTGCAAAGTGGCTCGACTTCAGAGGCACGAGAGCCCTTGAACCCAAAAGCTGCCCTGCCCGGCTATAAAACCCAACCACTCAGGGTGTGTGGTGCAGGGTCCCAGCCCCCCAGCAAGAAGTGGCAGTGTCAGCCACGTGGGACAAAGATTACCTTTCTGAACTTTGTCACACAGCAGAAATATTTCGTCTCCTCCCTTTACGCTCCCGCAGTTCTTGTTCACACGGCAAATTCTCAGCTCTGCGGTGTTGGGAGCTCCTGGAAACAAACAGGCAAATGTGATGACTGTGACTTTGTCACTGTGGGATATCAGGTGCTGGGAGTTAAGGCATATGAAAGGAAGGCAAGAGCTGGAGGAGCGACACCCTGAAATCCACACGCAACAAGTCGCTCCATGTAGGGAGTTCAGAAGCAGGGTCTGATATCCCCTGACCCTGCAGCTGCCAGCTGCTCAACCCCAAACAAAAGACACCAGCACAGCTGAGCCACTCACTCCCTGACTGTTCTAGAGAGGTCTCAAAATACTTCCCCAAATGACGTGGTTGCGCTCGGCTCCGCTGCCCTCTGAGCTGCAGGATAATTCAAAGCAGTGCTCCGAGTGACCTGGTTACCTGGTACAGTCACACTTCTCTAGAAAAAGCTGGGCTGGCAAGTCATGAAAATTCCCCTCTCTGTAGGTTTATTCACAGAGAGACTTGGCCATGCAGCCCCTCCTCTGCTACCCTCTGCAGGTGTCTAAGAACAGGTTTAGGACTGTAGTTTCACACCTGTACTCGAGGTAGCACCCCAAAATGCTCACATTTCAACAACCCCAGACTGTGGCAAAGCATGAACAGCCCTCAGGATAGCTGTGGATGGAGAGCTCCCTCTCACTGTGTGTGTCACCATGAACTCACGCCACTGAAGGCTGCACAGCACATCCCAACCACCTCGTGGCTGCAGGCAGCTCCAGTGGGATGGAGCCACCATCTGCCTGGTGGTGCCTGGCCCTGTTCTGGAGCAGCAGCTCCAAAAACATTTAAAATGTCTGGAAGGATCCGGCTGGTGCTGCTTTGCCTCCCCAAAACCGATCCTCCACAGCACCAGGAGGCTCTGCCACCACAGGCTCCCCCTTCCAAACACAGATGAAATAGAAAACCAGAGCTCGTGATGTCACCCTCAAAAGAAAACACAAAACACAACAACAACAACAAACAAATCTGCCTTAAACTCCCAGTTTGAGTCAATTCCTGCCCAAGTACAGCTACAGTGCAGCACAACACAGACTACACCTAGGACAGAGTTCCTGGTAGCTTCACACCAGACCCCAATTA